CTGCTAAAAAAATTTATATTTGCCACTAAGGGATTTATTTCCTTTAATTTTTTTTGATAGTAACGCCTTTTTATAAATTTTGTAAAAGTCAATCAAAAAAGAGTTTTATGAGACGGTATATATGAATAATCTAATACCTTTTTTCTCTTTTGGTTTTTACTTGGCGTTCAATATATACGTAGTATATAGTATGTATGCATATATTGACTTTGTGCTTCTCTTTAATCTTTACAAAGGAATTTTTGTCAAGAGGAAAGATTGTGATTTGTAAGTGATGAGAATCATGAGAAAATTGGTTAAAAAACGCACGGGTCCACATGAAGAGGGAAAGAGGATGAAAAGATGATGGATTGTTGACAATGTGAGCTCATTTGATTTCTTCTTTTCTAATAATGAAGGCATCATCATTTTTCGTATTTTTATTATGGATTTAAAATTTTTCATTAATTTTCTCACAGAAGTAAATAATTTACTGAATCAAATTATTTTAAAATGGAAATTAATAAATTAAACTAATTAAAAAAATTATACTCCCTCCGTCCCTAAATAAACTTCCTTTTTTAACTTTTTGAAGATTTAAGGGAGGGATATTTTGTGTTGACTTTCCAAAAATACCCTTGATGTGATGTATAAAAGTAAGATATGATATGTTGATTATTAGTAAAAAGGTATGATGTGATAGGTAGGGTATCAAAAAGTAAGGGGTAAAAGAGGTTTTTTAGGGAAAAAAGAAGTTTATTTGGGGATAAAGAAAAAACGAAAGGAGAAGTTTATTTGGGGACGGAGTGAGTAATAATTTATGGCTTAATATTAGAAAATTCATGTTTTTTATATGCACCTTATTAGGCCCATATAAAAACTTTTCCTCATTATTTATAGTTACACATAAGACATATTTAGACTATTTAATACCATTAATTTCTAAATACTTAGCTCCTTATTTTATTGTTTTGCTCTACATAATTAACTTTTTCATCTTTAAACATAATCTTAAAAAATTGCGCTGGCAATTCATTTGTTAATTTCTATTAGCGGATGTTATTAAGATTGGGTGTAATAGACACAGATAATAGGCTCACAATTAACTTGGTCTAATACGTACGGACTAAGTATTATAAATATCGTATTTATACTTCATTAAATCATTCAAGATCAATTTTTCTAAAATTTTATTCCTTACATACTCCGTCCCTAAATATTTGCCACATTTGTATTCTCAAGGCAAAATATCAAATTTTTTCAATTCATTTTATTTATATATTGGTATAAAAATAAAAAATAAAATTTACATATCAAAAAACTACATGAAAATTTTTTCGAAATAAGAGGTGTGAAAAATATTTTATTTTATCAAATAACCAATGAAAACGTTGAAATAAACAAAAATTCCCGCGACTGCTGAAAAAGCAAATGTTGCAAATAATTTGGGACGGAGGGAATAGTATTTTTATATTTTGATTGGACAAAGAAAAAAGCAACATTGTTGTCCTGGAAAAACATGGCGTGGTTATGATTCTTGTTTTCAGGCTTTTTGTTCCAAGCTAAGCCTTGGGATCGAGTTGAAATGATTCATTGGTATCAAATTAATCATCTACGGGCCTCGGCCTGCCTGCAATTGCAGAGACCTACCTGAGCATTCTCTTTCGGGCAACAGTGACGGATCCAGGATTTTGAATAACTGGACTACAAATAATCGAAGCCTGGAGACAATGTTCCCCGGATTTATTTCATTTTTAATAGATAATTTAAAATGACAAAAAAAAAGAAATAATAAATTTTATTTCAATTATTTATTAAATGTAAAATTTTATTTTATAAAAAAATAATTATATTTGTTGAAACACATATTAGTTGGGATCCCTTCAATTTTAATAGGTGTCAAATATACTTAAAGTCTAAGAATCTTTTTTACCCAAAACACAGAAATTAGTTCGTTGGTGGCCAAGGCCCCTGCCCCCCTATTCCTAAGGGATAGATCCGCTATTGTTGGTAGTGATTTTAAACTCGGGCAAACCATCAAGTATAAAAATAAGAAAGTATTAAATTCTAGTTGATTTCCAATTTTGTCCCAGATGTGATGGATAATTAGAGAAAAAGTATAATGTGATAGGTAGAGTATAAAAAAGTAAGCGTAAAAGTAGTTTTTTAATAGAAAATGAAAGTATTTTGTTGAAAGTATAAAAAATGCATATAATCCAAGCTACTTCGTATACTTCATCCGTCTCAAAATATTTGCCATATTACACAAAACGAAGAAAAATATTAAGTTTTTTCAATTTATTTTATTTAAAGATTGATATAAAAATAAAAATTTTAGATTTAAAAACTTTGTTAAAAGTTTTTTCAAACTAAGAGGTGACAAAAGTATTTTATATTATCAAATAATTGACGAAACCGTAAAAATAAACAAAAAATCTCGTGACACTGTGAAATCTCGAGGAATATTATTTAGGGGAATTTATTTAAATAGCACTAAAACATAATGATTTTCCTAAATAGCATTATACGTGTTTTTCCTAATGTAGCACTTTTAGTCATTATCCAGTAGTTATTATTCAAGTAATGTTCGTCATCACTGGATATTATTCCTTTTTCTAGACATTATTAAGTACTATTTAAGGAATAAAATAATTTAAGTGCTGTTTAAAGAAATGCCTTAAGTTTTAATGCTATTTAGCATAAATATTTTTAATATTTATTGATGAGTTAAATTAATTACTTCTATGGCCAGCAAGTAGCAACATAACTCATTCTTTATTAAAGATCACTATCACCAAAGCCTAAGATCCGAAGGTCCAAGACAAGACAGTCTACCTTTCCGAATTAGTTTCTTGAATTTATATTAAAAAGTCAAAATAAAAATAATTAAAATTTAGATTTTCGGTCGGTTTTTTTTGTTGTATGGGTGGTTTTTGGTTTTGGTTCAATCGGTTTTAGTTTAAGAGCGGTTCGTTTCGGTCGGTTTTCAACCATATTAAAAAAATCGGTTTTTCGGTTTCAAACCGAAACCGACCGTTGCTCAACCCTACTTTAAACATATGCTTTATGAGATAAGACAAATAGAGATCAAGACCACATATTATTTTCCTTAGTTTTTTATTAATGCATTTTTTATTAAATGTTCTTTTTTGATGTAATTTTTTTAATTTAATGAAATATTGTTGTATATATTTAATTAAATAATGAATTTTTATTATTTTAGTTTTACAAAATGTGTATTAAAAATGTAAAAGATAAAGGTTTGAAATCCCAAAGATTCAATCCCATTTTCAATAAAAGTGTGAGGTAAGTTAAAGGTGACGTGGCAGAGAGAGAAATTTTGAAGTCCAGTTTGAAGCCCCGGGGCTTCAGGAGTATTTCCAACGCTCTAACAATGCAAACCATTCTATGTTTTATTTGTATAATAGGGGAAAAAATACATCTACTAACCATTTAAATTAATTTGTTTAAATGACTGTGTGCTTTTTTCACATTAAATAAGGGGCGGATGCACATTGATGTTGTCGGGGGCATATGCCCCCTACTAATTTCTTGTAATGAGATATAATTTTTTTTTTTTGTAAATTTTATATATTTATGCCAAAAAAAATTAATGTAGCCCCATCTAATTAGGTTAAATTTAATTTTTTGTTCAATTTTTTAGTAATGTGTATTTTATTGCACATAATTAATTATTTATACACTAATATTTTACATTACCTATTAATAAATATTTTACATTGAATAAATGTTTGAAAGAAAATTTAATATTTTTTTTCATTTCATATATATAGTCTATTTTAAAAAATTTGGGGAAGGACCAATACCCCCCCCCCTATCTAAATTTCTGTATCCGCCACTGTATTAAATATACACTTTCCATGCCTAAAAGAAATATTTCTACATTTGAAGATAAGTGTAATTTGAGTACTATTTTTTGATCTTATCCTGGATTTATATTTTGTACTCCCTCCGTCCCATAAAAAAATGATTAATAAAGGATTTAAGATGAGTATATTTTGGTATTAACTTTCTAAAAATGTCCTTGGATGTAATGCATAAAAATAGATGAAATAGGTATATTAGCACTGAAAAAGTATGATGTGATTGGTAGGTTTAAAGTTAGTATGAGTAAAAGTGACATTTTAATAGAAATGAGAATTTTTTTGGAACGGATGAAATAAGAAAGGAGAAAGATGATTTTGTGGGACAGAGTGAGTATTAAGGTAGAATATGATATGATTAATAGATTAATAATGAACATATATGATGTCAACTGATGTGATAATTAATACTCCCTCCGTTCCACAAAACCCTTCCGGTTTTGACTTTAGAGAAAAATAAGGAAAGTGTAATTTTGGTTGACTTTCTAATTTTGCCCTTGATGTGATGGGAAAAAGTAAGATGTGATAGTTTGGTTATTAGTGAAAAAGTATGATGTGATAGATAGGGTATGAAAAAGTAGGGGTAAAAGTGGCTTTTTAATAGAAAGTGAAAGTGTTTTGTGGAAAGCAAAAAAAATGAAAGAGGAAGAGTTTTGTGGAACAGAGGGAGTACGAGTAATTATTATGAGTAAATATATGATTTTAATTGAAAAATGAAGAGATTTTTTTGGGCTATAGAAAGGGAAAGAGAAAAGGTTTTGTAGGAGAGGAGGAAGAAGTATATATACATATATGGATTGTAATTGTGTGTGAGTGGGTGTGTTATAAGTAGTGTTTTTTTTGTTTGTTCATCTTGGGACTAAGAAGCTAAGCTAGGCTTTTTAAAAACCTCAGATCAGCTCCTCTATTATCTTTGTTCTTATAAAATCCAATGGAGTCTGCACACCTCCATCATCACCAACATGAGTTCCAAGATCATCATCATCATCTTCATCCTTCAATTTTTGCCTCTCCTCCTTTACCTAATGAAAATAATAATATAACTATTAGTAATTATAAACCTTCCCTACTCTCATCATCTTCATCACCATCATCTTGCTATGGAGTTTCTACCACTAATTGGACCCAACAAAGCAATAACATCTTGTAAGTTTCTTTTTTTCTCTCCAACATTTTTTTCTTTTTCTTTAGAAAGTTTTGGCCTTTTCCCTCCTCAATTAGATCTTTGTTTGATTTGATGTGCATGTGGGAACAACTTTTAAGAGATCCCAACAAGCTCAAGATCCCTTTAACTTGTTGCTTTATTTATATTGCGCTCTTTAATTTGTTTCTCAACAAAACCCTAAATAATCACCTAGCTAGGTTTAATTTAATGAAACTTTAAATTCTAACAAAACATTATTAATTATTGTGGTACGTGGTTCAGAAGTCCATTATTATCGTCACATCCAAGCTCAAGAAACCATCAACTCATCTGTAACCCTAATGATGATGACATGACTCCACACGGCCTGACTTTTCATCACTGGGCGGCTAGCAACAACAACAACAAGCACCAACTCTCAACCGCGGAGGTGGAAGAAGCCGCCGTGGAGGCGGCGGCAGCGGCGGCTCAACACTTCTACTGCCCCACAAATGATAATCTGCAAGCTTTAGATCTGTTGAACTCTGAGGATCATTCTCATCATCATCATCATCATCAAGAGTTTGGGTTTCAAAACTTTGGGATGGATCATAATCTTAGTCATCATCAGCTGCAGCCATCAAATCACCAAAGGCCATTGTTTTGTAGCAACAGCTTTCCCGATGTAAGTACTACCCGACGGTTCTTTAATTTTATTTACTGCATTTTTTTTCGTTTTCTATTGAAAAAAATAAATAAATTGACACCAGTAAATGTGAATATATAAGGAGTATTATTCGTTTTTTTCAAGCTAATTAATTAAGCAAGCAAACACTATTCTTTAAAAAGGAAACAGATAGTAGCAAAAATATTTTACCCGTAACTTCTAAATCAACAAGATTGTGATATTATATTGATAAAGGCAAGTCAATAAGCTTGTGGTTACGCCTTGTTGCATTAACCTCATTAATAAAAGAAATTAAGAATCAAGTAAAACTCAATGTGTTATTTGGGTTATTAATTTAATCCTGAATTATGCTGATGAATGGCTACTAAATTAACCCCGAGAAATGAAATGATGAATTGAAGTTAATAAAAATAAATAATATGGGTGTGGTAAGTAAAGAATGGAGCCTTTTCTTTATCTTTGGCTTTTATTTCACTTTAGACGACCAAAATCAAACAAAAGGAAAACTAAAGCTTCTCTTTTATCTGGAGGTACAAAGGGTAACTCAGCTTTATGCATATTATATTATTGTTGTTAGAGATACTATGCATTATTATTATTATTATTATTATTATTATTCACCACAGCACCTTTATTAAATTTATTTACAAACATTTGCCCTTTAAATGATGCATGTGTGCCTCTCCTTTTTTCAGAAAATGAGTCTTTTTAAGCATGCATATGCATCTATATTATTTTTATTAATATATATTATTATCACCAGATAAGCAATGCAAGTAATATTTATATAATTAATCAAACAATATATTATAAATTAAAAAAGAGAAAATGATATATCAATAATGTAACATTGGAATTATGATGATTATTGAAGATAGGAGGAGGAGCAGGAGGCTTGTCGTCGAGCAACAAGAATGGGAACTACCCCACAACTACTAATACAAAAAAAACTGTGGAACCAAAAAGGCAAAATGGAGTGGAGCCGATGCCACCTCATGCCCCACTCATTAAGAAATCACGACTGGATTCGCGTGCTTCCTCCTCCCCACCCTTCAAGGTACACATACATCATACATCCATCCATATATGTATCTATATCTATCTATTACAAGTAGTTTTTGAATTGTTTTACTATCTTCGTTCATCAAAATATTTTCTCGTTTTTTTCTTTTTCATCAAAATATTTTCACTTTTTATTAGAAAACTATTTTTATCTTTATTTATATTTTCTTACCTTATCGATCAGATCTTACCTTTTTCAATAATATTCTATCTATCACATCAAAGACAAAATTAGAAAATCAACTATAAATATATATTCATTATTTCTCTCCTTAGTCAAAATAGATAGTCAAAATTAGAAAATCAACTACAAATATATATATTCATTGTCCTAATTGACTTTCTTCTTTTTCCATATTTATTCACATTGATACTTCTATTTAAGTTGCCTCAAAATCGAATCCTGTATGTTTTTAAACAAACAATTTTTTTTGATTTTTTTTACCTAAATTGTGTGTTGGCCCAAACTTGTTGAAAATGCTCACTCCACTCTTTCTAAAATAAATACACAATCACTATTGTGATCATTCAAAAACTTTTATTTGTTTAATTGTTTTTATTAACTATTTAAAAAAATATTCATGTCCTCATTTATTTTGTAAAACTTTTATCTGATTTTTAAATACGTAAGTTGTATTTTTTGTTTCTATACCCATTTGTAAATAAATTAAATTTAGAATTATTTTTACACGTTCTTCGAATTGTATAATCTAATTTGAATACTCCATATAATATAGAAAATAAAAAAAGAATTGCGTAGCGTAACCACTATTGCCAAAGGGATGTAGCACTTTAATTTCTATGAACTAATAATAAATAAATGTAAATTACTTTATGGGATTGCGAATATTAGTTTCATACTTACATACTTACATACACCATCCATAAAAAATGCATTTTTACTAGTTCTTTTCTGATCTACGAGTATAATGTAATATTTTGATTATTAATAACTACTTTAAAAATAGTACTCCCTCCGTTTGGAAAAACACTTCCCATTTGGATTTGGGGCAAAAATAAGGAAGTGTTAAATTATAGTTGATTTCCAATTTTGCCCTGATGTGATGGGTAAAAGTAAGATGTGATGGATAGATTATTAGAGAAAAAGTATGATGTGATGGCTAGGGTATAAAAAAGTAAGGGTAAAAGTGGTTTTTTAATAGAAAAGGGAAGTATTTTGTTGGAAGTGAAAAAAATGAAAGAGGAAGTATTTTTGAGAACGGAGGGAGTAAAATGCATTGAATGATAAATGAAAATGGTTTTTTTTAATGCTATTGACTCTATTACAAGGTAGTATCAATGAAAATGGTTTAATTTCATATGATTTGTCTTCCAAAATACTCCACATGTTTATTCTTAGGGGTTGTTTGTTTCAGCCTCTTAATGGTTCAGATGTCTGAATGGTTCAGCACTTAATGGTTCAGACTGTTTGTTTCAACCTCTTAATGGTTCAGATGTCTGAATGGTTAAGAGATTTGCCTCTGAATGATTAAGTATTATACAGAGTCTGAATGGTTAAGACCTTTTATCTGAATTGATCAGACATTTGCCTCTGAATAGTTAAGCAATATACTAGCTCTTAATGGTTCAGACCTCTTACTGGTTCAGCACTTAATGATTCAGACCTCTTACTGGTTCAGCACTTACTCATTCAGAAGTTGCCAAACAGCTCCTTACTTAATTATCGGCTTATATTAGTAGNTCTTAATGGTTCAGATGTCTGAATGGTTAAGAGATTTGCCTCTGAATGATTAAGTATTATACAGAGTCTGAATGGTTAAGACCTTTTATCTGAATTGATCAGACATTTGCCTCTGAATAGTTAAGCAATATACTAGCTCTTAATGGTTCAGACCTCTTACTGGTTCAGCACTTAATGATTCAGACCTCTTACTGGTTCAGCACTTACTCATTCAGAAGTTGCCAAACAGCTCCTTACTTAATTATCGGCTTATATTAGTAGTGTGTGTTATAAATATGAAGCAGGTGAGAAAAGAGAAATTAGGAGATAGAATTGCTGCCCTTCAACAGTTAGTAGCACCTTTCGGCAAGGTACTAATTAATTATTATTACTCCCTAATAATCATTTTATAGATAATCATGTTGTCACTCCCAATTTTGTTAAAATTATCACAATATTGGATATTTGGATTGATATTTACAAGAAAAATGATAGTGACAAAATCATTCTTATTAGTCTTTTTGTATCTAATCCTGAAAATCACGTTTGAAATATAATGATATTTTCGCTTAAAGAAAAAGATCACGTCTTTGATTTTGAAGTACAATAATGTATATATATTGCTTATTTTTACAACGTACACATAACGGCACTATCCACTCATTACAAATTTAGGTAAATCAATAATTAAATTTTGAAGGCTAGCTAACTTGACCATACTACCTCATTAACTCAATTACATAAAAATCTTAATTTTCAAGAAGTTCAAAAGTGATGTTAAAAGTGAAAAAAGTTTGTTTGATTGGAACGCGTTAATTTAACGATGCACAAAGAGCCAATGCTTATGCCTCTGTTGGGGCTCGAATCTGGGTGAACTTCCCAGTTCACATGAATCCTGGAGAGTGGGCTTGCTACAACTCAAGTCATAAGAGAAATTCACATATACTCCGTTCTCAAATTTAAAAAATGAATTTTTTTAGGACAAGAAAAAGAAGAGTGAAACATTTTGCAAAACCGAAGTTGGGAGTATAATATTGAGTATATTTTTTTTAAAAAAGAATTTTTTTTTTTTGCAAAATCCTTGACATAGATTGTTGAGTTATACTCATCTCATATCGTTGTGTACACAAATATATATCATACTCTCTCCGTTCTTGAAAAAACACTTTCGCCCTAATTTTCTACACACCCCATAAAATACATTTACTTCCACTTAAAATATCTAAAATACATCTAATTATGTAGTTTATTGCGGATAGAAATTATTTTGGAGGTATTTCTGACATTCTAAGTAGAGTAAAAATATTTTATGAAGTGCACAAAAAGTTAGAGCAGAAGTGTTATTGAATGGGCTCAACTCGACTATTGTCTCATTCCCTTGAGTTAATTTTTGAGATTGATTTAGGCCAAGTCTATTATTTCACATTAAATAAATTGGATATGATTTTGGAGTACATATAAATATGGTGCAGACAGACACAGCATCCGTACTAATGGAGGCTATTGGGTATATCAACTTTCTCCAAAATCAAGTTCACGTAAGTACAACCCATCCCATTCCTTATTTATTTCTGATCAGATTAAACTAATAATGTCATAACATATATAGTTTGAAGATCAGATCATCATTTTTTTCCATCAACTCTCGCTAACTACGTACGGAGTATTATATATATTTGGGCACTTTTGTATTTCCAACTACTCGATCACTATATGTTAAGGGACTCATATGTAATTAGCACTCACCCTGTCTTTTTTTAGTACTCCCTCCGTCCCAAAAAGATTAGTACATATTGATTTTTGGGAAATTAAGGGGGATATTTTGGTGTTGATTTTCCAAAAATACCCTTGATGTGATGGGTAAAAATAGGATGTGATGGGTAGATTATTAGGAAAAAAGTATGATGTGATAGGTAGGGTATGAAAAAGTAAGGGGTAAAAGTAGTTTTTTAATAGAAATGTAATGGACTTTATGAGACACAGTTTTTTCGAAACGTGTCGGACTTTTTGGGACGGAGGAAGTATTTTTTTCTTTTTTTACTCTTATTTAAAGGTAATATCTTATAATGTTACGTTGTTGCAGACTCTAAGCTTTCCATATATGAAACCATCTCGCAACCATACCTGCAATAGAGCCATCATTGGGGTAAGATCAGTATAAATTGATGATATTATAAATGAAAGAGCAAATAAAAAAAAAGTAGAGGACAAATTGAATAAATAATGTGGTTACTGAAATAAGGTGAGGTGAAACAGGGTTCTCAAGAACAGGAAGACAATAGTGGGAGTGAGGAAACAGGCAAGATGAGTCTTAGGAGCAGAGGGCTTTGCCTTGTGCCATTGTCATGCTTGTCTTACATTATTCCAGACACCGGCGGTGGCGGCGGTTTCTGGCCTCCTCACACCTTTGGCGGCTCTTAAATCAAACTAAACACGCACCCCGCAGGCGTGCGTGCAGCTCCTCCACCTGCTTATTGATTACAAAATAATACGGAGTAATAATAATTATAATTAGATGATAATCTAATTAATTTAATTTGGTATACTACTATGAAAGTTGTTGTTGTTGTGGTTGTTATTGTAGTAGCTAGCCATGCCATGCTAATTAATGGAGCAAGCTTGGTCATTCTCTATATATGGCATGCACATTTAGAAGGTGCAGAAGCTATGTAAGGATGGACCAAGTTTGATCCATTAAAATTAATATTGGCTTTATTTCTTTGTACCACTACTTTTAATTAGTACTATCAAACATTAGTGGATTATATCTATTTGAACATGCATATATGATGTGTGTAAGTGTGTGCTAATGACTTTAAACTTTACATATGAGCCATTTCCATTTTTTCCCACTTCCTACAATTAGGCTCTCTTTGATGTTAGATTATAGGTACTTACTCCTTCCATTCTATAAAACTTTTCCACTTTAAAAAAGTGAAATTTAAGAAATGTACATTTCTAGTATTACTCTTTAATTCTGCTCTTACTTAATTATACGGTAGGATAATTGATTAACAGATTAATAGCAAATAGATATAATTTAATACATAGACTAATACCACATAACTAATAGAGGTAAAAGAGAGATTTTAAATAAAATAAAAAGCGCTTTTTGAGACGGATGAAAAGTGAAAATAAAAAGTTTTTTTTGAGATGGATGGAATATTTTTATTTGTAACAAAAACTATTTTAATTTGAGCTAAATGGACATAAATGTCTTTTGCTTTTCCTAAATCTAACCTAACCGGCCTATCCCAACTCCCTTTTATGCTCTTTCCCTTTTGAGATTTTCCAAACCCTTTGTTAGTTTTCTAAATATTGGCTAATATTTAGGTAAAACAAAAATTCATGCTTATTAGAAGTTTTATAATTAGGGTAGAAAAACCTCTATCCTTGTAAAACACCAAGTGATATGATCAGTAAACCCTTTGAGGATATAACTAAGATTTATTTATTATACTTCATGCTCATATTTATATAAAGAGAGTAAATTTTATAATTGTTCTTTTATAACAATGAATTTCCTTAGTTTACCTTCGCGATTCTTCTTTTATGGATATATTTTTTCGGATAGTTCTTTTTTACATTTTTATAATTGATCTTTTATTACAATGAATATACACTAGATCATAATGTTGTTGAATTTTTAGATTTTTTATGGTGTATTTTTATTCAATTTCAAAGTTTAAATTATCTTTCTTTTAAAAATATATGTGCTCATTATTAGACGTATTTTTGAAAATCAAATTTATATAATATGAACATATTTGTTCATGTACTCTGAATATATAAAACGTATAATAAGAGATATTTTAAAAATATGATACATATTACTCCGTATATACAAGAGAATTTTACCTAAATAGGACTAAAACATAATGATTTTCCCAATATAGGACCATATGTTTTTATTTCTCAATGTAGATATTTTGGTCATTATCAAGTAGTTATTATTCAAATAAATGTCCATCATTATTGGACATTATTCCTCCCACAAGGTCATTAATAAGTCCTATTTAGGGAATAAAAAAGTTTAAATCCTACATTAGAAAAATCATTATGTTTTAGTCCTATTTAATACAAAATTCACTATATACAAATGTACAAACAAATATATTAGAAAAATACTAGGGGTAAACCAAATGTGTACCCCATTTGGGGTACCCCAAATGGTGTACCCTAGCATTCCTCAACATATTATACTCATGTCTCAATAACCTAAAAGAGCTTGCAATTGAATGTATCCATAGTCATTCCCAAAAATTGGCCAAGAAAAGAAACCCTTACTCTTTCTGTGTCACACTCCCCGGCGGTCCCCTGCCTCAAATCTTGAGGGCTTTGTTTCTGCAGTGCTTGGCATGGAGGAGAGAATCACATCAACGGTGAGAGTCGCCAACATTCCGCAAACCGCCATAGCCTCGGAGCTCCTAGCCTTTCTCGAGTCGGCGGTGGGTCAAGATTCCGTCTTCGCTGTTGAAATCTTCACGGAGCACATGAACTGGAAATCCAGAGGCCACGGCCGAGTTCAGTTCGAGTCCCTCCAGGCGAAGCAGCTCGCCCTCTCCCTCTCCGACCAACGCCGCCTCGCTTTCAAAGGCTCCCGCCTCTCCGTCACCCACTCCCACAATGACATCATCTTCAGGCCGGCCAAGCCCGATCACAGGTTCAGGAATGGGACCCTTTATGCTGGGTTTATGGTCCAGCGTGAGACCTTGTGGTTTATGGAGTCCTGGGAAAGCGTCATGACCTGGATTAATCCAGAGAGGAGGACTATCGAGTTCTTTCTCAACAGCCATGGCGGCGAGTGTTACAGGCTTGAAGTCCAGTTTGGGGATATTGTGGAGACGTGCCGGTGCTCTCTTCGTGGTGAGAGTCGCAATGCTTTTCTTCTTAAGGTATAGCAGTCTCTTTTCTTCTGCACTTTCAAGAATTCTAATTAGTGTATGTGTTTAATTATGTCCCTCTGTTTTGTTGAAGGTGTGATTTCCCCCCTAAGACCCCATTAAAATTCACCTGCATTTCGATCAATGTAAATTGCGATACTCATTCAAACTGATATATTTGTTATACACAATGAAGGTATTATGTAACTAGTTATGTTGACACTTGACAGATTAAGTTAGTGAAATTCTTATGATAGCTATTGAAATGTATTCGTGCTCCTATGCTAATGGGTTTGGATTGTTTTGAACCCAAGTTTTTGGAAAGAACTACGAAACCTCACTCTCGGTTGCTGATATGGACTAATTGGTATGGCCTTATGGGTGGGTGTATTGTACAACCTGATTTTGGTGATATAACTATAGTATCAGGCTGTCCCATGTATGCACTAACATGAATTTAAATATGACCTACTGATTTTCCTCACATCTTTTGATGATATGAATTTATCAAACCCTTTGAATAACTCTTCTACCGATCTAGTCATCTGTGATTTGTTACATGTTTAGCTTAACCAATGGATAGAAAGAAGACAAACTTAGCAAAGATAAATGTTCTTTTAGTAGAAAGTTTTGTTAAAAATCGATTTTGCTAAAAGATTGAAATTTTCCTCACGATGTTGCTATCACAGGATTGCATCCATTTGAACTTTGACATTGATGTATGAATGATTCCTGTTGTTAGTCTAATGAACAGACAGCTATCTACCCCCTCCCTTCCTTCAATGGGGTTTCTGGTGTACTCTCTTGACACTAGTTACTATGGAGTATTAAGCTACATATTACCCCATGGGGTGTATCTTGAGTGAAGGGTGGGACTGAAGGTCATGTGTCCTACCTTGATACGTGGGAGTTCAAATCCTGCCAAAGGCAGGGGTTTCTGGTGCAAGGTTAAAGGGGTGACCTCTTGCAAGAATCCTGAACTAGAACCCACCATGTGCCCCGGGGGTAGAGGTGGGGTATATCATTTTTTTTCAAAAGTAAACTACCTTGATTCTTCTTCCATTCTTGTAATAGTAAGTTTTAATTTTTCAGATCAAATTTGCTCCAAAGATATATCGAAAAGTTTACGGAAACCACATAGTGTCAAAGTTCTCCACTGACCGGTACCACATCTGCAAAGAAGATTACGACTTTCTCTGGGTTCGCGCAACGGATTTTTCAGATGTGAAGTCTATTGGATATTCATCGTCTCTGTGTTGGGAATTTGAAGGAGTATCCGTCTCTGATATATTTTCCAGTATCCCATATTACAATAGAGATGTGCTAGATATACTTCTTGAAAAAGTAGAGTTTCCTTCCACCACATCTGCCCTTGTTCCACTTGTGAAGCCCCCGTCTGATTGTACACTGGCATACGAGATCCTTTTTCAGCTTAACTCCCTTGTACACATGCAAAAAATCAGTCTTGCTGCAGTTGATAATGAACTGTTTGAGTTTCTTAGCGGATTGCATTTTGACACGGCCTTGGCAGAATTAAAAAGCATGCATACGTTGCAATCAGTTTGCTACGAACCAAAGGCNAAGATTTATTGCCTGGGTCCTGAGCTTGAGACTTCCAATTACATTGTTAAAAACTATGCTTCTTATGCTTCAGATTTCCTGAGAGTAACTTTTGTAGAAGAAGATTGGGGCAAGCTTTCTCCTGGTGCTGTTTCTACAAGCATTTCACAAGGAATCTTCGCAAAGCCTTACCGGACTGAGATACATGGTCGCATATTGTCTGTTCTCCGAGACGGAGTCACTATTGGAGCCAAACATTTTGTTTTTCTTGCTTTCTCGGCGAGTCAGCTGCGTTCAAATTCTGTTTGGATGTTTGCTTCTAATGAGCATGTCAAAGCAGAGGATATCAGAGAATGGATGGGATGCTTCACCAAGATTCGAAGTGTCTCAAAGTGTGCAGCAAGGATGGGTCAATTGTTCAGCACCTCAACGCAAACAGTGGAGGTTCAGCCACAGCATGTTGAGGTCATTCCTGATATTGAAGTGACCTGTGATGGTGTTGAGTATTGCTTCTCGGATGGCATTGGTAAGATTTCCCATACTTTCGCAAAGCAAGTTGCCCTGAGCTGTGGGTTGGATCATATTCCATCAGCATTTCAAATCCGTTATGGTGGGTATAAGGGTGTAATAGCAGTTGACAAGACTTCTTTCCACAAGCTATCTCTACGCCGCAGCATGCTTAAATTTGATTCAAAGAATATGATGCTTAACATAACCAAGTGGAGTGATGCCATGTCTTGCTACTTGAACCGTGAGATTGTTGTCCTCCTATCAACCCTTGGGATAGCCGATGAAGTTTTTGAGGAAATGCAAGAGGGCCATCTGCTTCGTTTGGGTAGAATGCTGACAAACCGACAAGCAGCGCTAGAAGTCTTGGATGGCATGGGTGGTGGTGAGATCAAGAGAGTCCTGGTGAAAATGCTTCTTCAAGGGTATGAGCCTAGTGTGGAGCCTTACCTCTCAACCATGCTTCTATCACATTATGAAAATCAGCTCTCTGACCTAAAAACCAGGTGCCGTATATCTGTACCCATGGGTCGAATTGTGGTGGGGTGCTTGGATGAAACAGGGATTTTGAACTACGGACAGGTTTATGCTCGTTTGACTTTGACCAAGACCGAACTGCGGCTTGGGGAACAGAGTTTCTTTCATAGAGTGGATGATACAACTGCAATAGTGAAAGGCAGGGTTGTTGTGACAAAAAACCCTTGTCTTCATCCTGGAGATGTCAGAGTACTAGAGGCTGTCTATGAGGTCGTACTAGAAGAGAAGGGCCTTGTGGATTGCATTGTTTTCCCTCAGAAAGGAGATAGGTGGGAATACTCTTAGAACAATATTTCTTAGGACACGCCATTAAAGAAACTCTGTAACTTGTGAAAATCTCATTTGCAGGCCTCATCCAAATGAATGCTCTGGTGGAGATCTTGATGGAGACATATACTTCATAAGCTGGGACAAAAATCTCATTCCAAATCGGACTGAGGAGCCCATGGACTACACTGGAAGAAGCCAGCGAATAATGGACCATGACGTAACCATGGAGGTATAGTCCATTTATATTCATCTGAACAAAAGAACTGTGTCAGCCTGATACTTCTTCTGTTTATCCATCTTTTCTTGGTTTTTTTTTTTTTGCAGGAAATTCAGAGGTTTTTCGTTGATTACATGATCAATGACACGCTTGGGGCCATCTCCACTGCACATCTGGTACATGCAGACCGTGAACCACAAAAAGCTCTGAGTTCAAAGTGTCTTGAGCTAGCAAAGCTCCACTCTATGGCCGTTGACTTTGCAAAAACAGGAGCCCCAGCTGAGATGCCCAGGCATTTGAAACCCAGGGAGTTTCCTGACTTCCTGGAGAGATGGGAAAAGCCAATGTACGTCTCGGACAACGTACTGGGAAAACTATACCGTGCGGTCAAGAAGTCAACCGGGCATCCGAGAGCGACGGGTAATCGGAACGCGTACGACGAGGATCTCATAGTGGATGGGCACGAATCATTCCTTGCGACCGCTGAAGCTCACAAGCAAATGTATTTGGGCAAAATGGGAAGCTTGATGAACTACTATGAAGCAGAGAGTGAGGTGGAGATACTGACTGGGAATATAAGGAACAAGTCGACCTATCTGCTGCGGGACAACAGGAGATTCTTCGAGCTGAGGGACCGAATCGTGGGTTCGGCCAAGAGCCTACACAGGGAGGCCAAAGGGTGGTTCCATGGTAGCTGCCAGAGCAGTGAATGTGTGAAGAAGCTGGCATCAGCTTGGTATTTTGTGACGTATCATCCCAAGTATTGGGACACAAGTGCTAATTGCCTAGGTTTTCCCTGGATTGTGGGAGATGTTTTGCTTGAAATCAAGTCACTCAGGCGCTGAATGAAAGCTTTGCCTGCTTTTGTAAGATTTCTATGCATCTTGTTCAGTTTTGTGTACTGCGAATATGACAGCCCTTCTGTATCTTGTATCTAATGCAAATATGAAATCGTTAATGGTATGTTTGGGAACATGGATTTGGATTTCAAATCCGGATTTGGCTTAAATTCCATGTTTGGGAAACTTAAGCATTTTGAATTTGGATTTGAATCAAATTCTTTACATTCAAAACCAAGCTTAATTTGAAATCCATGCACCTCCCCTTGTCATTTGAAATTCAGGATTTCAAATTTTGGAATTGAAATACATGAATTGAAATGAAATGTTAGTTGTCAAACACTACCTAATATAGTTACGCATGTTCTTTTCATCTTCAAAATAAATGATCCCTTTTAATATAATTCATTCTAAATATCTTGTGATCGGACGGTAATACATCCTAAATTTTGTCACTTTTATCTTTTCTTTTCTCTTTCTAGTACTTTCAAGGAAAGAAAACAGACGTACAAGCTACAAACGTGTTACGTACACGTAAAACTGATTTATAATGCAGCTCAATTTGGGTCACTTTTATACCATTAAAAAAGCAATACTCCGTAGATGTAAAGCATGCATGTGCTATCCTTGAAAAAGTAAATGGAGGAAAATACTTTTTTCTGTTAATTTCAATGAGAATTTATGAGGAAACTCTTCTTTAGTTCTTTTACATGAATTGTTTTGAACTCGGCAGCGGCAATGTGTGACTTTGTATATATTGGATGGACTTCTGTTAGACTGATCCTAAAGTCTACATGTAAATTGTTGATTTTTTTTACACATTTTCATAAGTTTGTAATTAGATCTCCTTATTTTTACCAAGCTCATTACATAAAACTATTTTATATATGAAGCTACATCAAATGAGGATGGACTTAAGGATCAAAATAGAATGTGTCGATTAGATATGCCTATTTTATCTTTCTATTTCTTTTAAAGAAAGAATTGTGTGGTTCCGGTCAATTGTCTTTTTTGCACAAATTAAATTTTGAATCTTATAGTAACATCAATCTTAAACTCCGTGTAAAAAAACATGAAAATTACATTAGAGCTAGGGATAACAATTTCTATCCGATTTGAGGGTTAACAAAATTATCGCCTCGATTAATTGGATAAGAAACCGAACAAAAAACTAAAAGATGATGGATGAGCTAACAATGGATCGGGTCGGATATAGGTAAATATTGTTTCTGTTACCCGATCCATCACCCGACCGACTCATATTTACTTGGGACATTTCAATTGGGACATTTATGGTGTTTTCTTCATAAAAATGTCGAATTCTACCCTCTAGACGTCCCAGAATAACCTCACCCCACTCTAGTCCCTCCACTCTAAATTGTCGATTTGGCAGATTCTAAGGTGGGGAAGTGGGGCGAGAAGTGAGTGAAATTGATTTGGAAGATTTAGTGGTGAAAGTTATCAATTATACGAATAAAACATTATTCTCTTCGTTCTAAAATAATCTTTCAATCACTATTCACATGATCAAAACTTTAATCACTTTCTTTACAAATTGTTGTTAGTTATTTGATAAAATATACTCCCTCCGTCCTATAATGATCTTCCCAGAGCGCTATTCCAACTTCACGAGAATTTATATTTATTTGTGTTTTTTCATGGCCTATATGATAAAATAAAATATTCTTGTCACTACTTGTTTTGTTGAACTTTTGGTGTAGTTTTTAAATATGTATGTTTTATTTTTTATTTCTATACCAATATTTAAATAAAATAGATTGAAAAAACTTGAAATTTTTCTTCGTTTTGCAAACCGGGAAGATCATTATAGGACGGAGGGAGTATAATTTTTATATTTTAATTTTATACATATATAATTATAATTTTTATATTTAAATTGCATCTCTTATTGTACTTTGAAGTTTTGCACCAATATTTTGTGCGAGTATAATACTCCGTAATAGTATGATTGTTTACAATGAAATAAAATATGAGTACAATTTTTTTTAAATGGTGACGAACAATTGAGGCGGATATAATTGGAAATACAATTTTGGTATAGCCAACATGGTTCTTTACCATTACCTAACATAAATTTGACAAAGTAAATTAACGAGGGAGAGAAAAACGCCACGGGAAACGTGACCAACAATTGAGGCGGGTGGCAGCACAACGGCTGTCATACGTTGAACACGTTGTCGTGTTGAGTCATACCTCTTTCGCCCATTTCTTCTTCTTCTTCTTCTTCTTCATCTTTCTTCTGTCATCATCTTCCTTCCACAATCCATACACATATATATTCTTATTCTATACACTCTCTCACTACTCCCAAAGCGTCGTCGTCTCTTATCTTATCTCTTCCTCCCCTCCTCTGTCTCTCTCTCTCTCTCTTTTATCCATTCCCTCGATCTGTCGGCTGCTGCTCTCCATATTATCCCGTCCTCTTTCACCTTATCCACTTCTCTTTCTTTTCGGGTCGGGTCCCCCCTATTTATCATCTGACAGAATCTTTCAATTCTTGTTTATCTATATTTGGAAAGTCACCGGATAAAGCTGACGCCTTTGCTCTCGCTTCAAGCTCGGGTGTTGGATCGTTAAGTTTTCTTCTACCTGATCCGAGGTGAATTTTCGTATGTAGCTCACTTCAAGATTCTTCATTATTGATGATGATGATGACAATATGTTCTTTCTTGTGTTCCTGTTCTGTTGTTTTGATTTGTGATCGATCCCTCTCTTTAATTTGCACTGTAGAAACAGGGGAAAAAAATTTCATCTGATCATGGTATTATATGGTAGTTATTCTTGAATTGCTTGGATTGCACAGTAGAAACAGAAAAAAAAGACCCTTGCTTAGATTGCTTCCAAAATCATATCTTTGAACTGATCGACTATGTAAAAGTTCCAATTTCTTCCATTTCAGCCCTTCTAGGAAAACAAAGAAGATGTGATTTTTTTTTTTTGAAATTGGTTCAGTGATTTTCGAGGGAGGAAGAATGAACTCACTACAGGGGCCTGTTGCTTGTCCCGTGGTTCGCACTAAGCTCACAGATCGAAACCCCATTCCCGTAAATTCACACATTGCAAAGGCTACTGCAATTCTTAGAAACAGATTCTTGGGGACTGATTATGGGACATACAGTAGGCAGAGTTGGAGACCACGGCCACGGATGAGGAAGCTGATTTCTTGCACTTTCAGCTCCTCCTCAAATGGCAATGGCAGCAGGGCGGAGAACTTCAACGAGAACGATGCTGATTATGTGAATTCTAGCGTGCTTGAAGCTGGTACATATTTATATGCTCTAAGTTAATTTGTCTACAATGAACGCATTAACGAATAGCTTTGATTATTTGTTATCTTCTTTAATTTCAGTTGAAGTAAGGAGTGGCGCAGAAGGTTTCATGGTGAAGATGAGAGACGGTAGACATCTGAGGTGTGTCCATAACAGCCCTCAGGGTGGTCATGTAGTTGATTATGCTCCACATCCAGCAATAGTGTTGAAAATGGAAGATGGCACCGGCCTTCTTCTCCCCATCATTGTCGGTATGATCTCTCCATGGAGTTTGTTCATATTAGGGGATTCATTCAGTTCATAAAACTTACCAAATCTAACCTTCTTTTAATGGTTTCTATTTGACAGTGGAGATGCCGAGTGTGTTGCTCATGGCAGCTCTCCGCAATGTCCAAATTGTATGTCTTTTTTTTATTATAAAATTAGTATTTTCATGTACCCTAACTTTTCATTGATGTTCTAACCTGTGTTTGTGTTTTCTTAAGCTGATAGCAAAAAGGGCCTCTCTGCCTTTTTAGGTAGGGGTAAGGTCCGCGTACATCCATCCTCTTCAGACCCATTTGTGGGACCTTACTAGGTTGTTGTTCTCGTATAATGTATCCTATCTTTGTAATACTTGTGGAGTGACACATTATTTCGGGTGCTCTTCATCAGGCTAGACCAACAATCTACCAAGTGGTGAAGGAAATGATTGAGAAGATGGGCTATGAAGTAATGAATGAGTTGGTTATTTTGGCGTTAATATTGCACTAAGCTATATCTATAAACCCAGTTGAATCATGATGCTTAATTTTTTTCCCCTATTGTTTAAAGGTGAAACTTGCTCGTGTTACGAAGAGAGTAAACGATGCATATTTTGCTCAATTGTATCTCACCAAGGTAATCAAGGCCTTCACTTAGCTTATTAGTTTTATTGTTTTAAGGGATAGCAAATGAGAATGTTCTGAGTATTAATCTGGACTCCTCGCATTTTGCCCGCTCATAGCAATATGGTCATGAAAATGAGAGCATCAGCTTTGACCTCCGACCTTCTGATGCCATCAACATCGCCGTGAAATGCAAGGTATGTACTCTTTCTGTATATCAAATTCTTCTGCTGAATACATACAAAGATCATCCCCTCTTTATATATTTGCAATGTCATAATTGAGTGTGTACGAACGTATATGAATATGAATGAATGAATAGGTGCCAATACAAGTGAACAAGTACTTAGCATACAGTGATGGCATTAAGGTGGTGGAGTCTGCCAAGCCATTCACGCCGGCTTCTTCACATTCGTCACTCTTGTCCGAGCTGGATAGGTAAAAAACAAGATAATTAAGATCACAAACCAGACTCCTTTGGGCATGATGAGTTAAAAACATATATGCAATTTTATAGGCGCCATTATATATGTATGTGTTATGTAATGTGTGTATACATAAATACACAGAGGTAGCGAGGAGGCAGGGATTGAGACGAAAGAGTTCATTCTTTTGAGGAACATGCTCATTGCTGCAGTAGAGGAACGCTATAAAGATGCAGGTCAGTTCCTTCCTTCCAAGTCATGAATAATGAATTTTAACCAAGCCTTATTAATTAAATGCCCCGCCCCCATTAAAACTATATAAGCTAAGAGAGGAAGGAGGTTTAGGAACTGATCAAATAAGAAGAAGATTAATTAATTGTTTGGGTGTGCATGCAGCTCAATGGAGGGACAAGCTGACTCAACTCCGCTCCAAGAGGAATTGGACATAATAGTTATTGTATAGCTACTATATATAAGAAGAAGAAGAAGAAGAAGAAAGAAAAGAAGAAAGAAGATAGCATATCGATCTCAAGTGTGTAACATGTGTATATATAACCGCCGGCCTGTGAATTTGTGTGTGTGTCTGTATGTATATAGGTGGTGACTGTAATTAATTTTAAGATAAAAAAAAGGGGGACGTGGATAAAAACATATATGGTCATCGTACTTGTGATTTCATCTCGAACATGCATGATCACTACTATATTGTTCTCTATGAATAATGAACATTATTAAGCCGCCGGGTGCTCACCTTGTTGTTTTGTATGGATGAACATAATTTTGCTCTCAAGCTCATTTCAACCTGGCTCCCGTCAAAGAGCCACTGCCTCCGCTGCTCAAACTTGGGTGTGTTTTTCTTGTTAATCCTGGAAAGTGGACTTCTACTACTTAAGCCAGGGGAGAAGTTCAGCTTTAATCAAATAATTGCGCATAAACCATCCAGCTCAAGTGACATGGCTTCGAAAATATAATTTTCATTTTTCTTTTTGGGGCTTTCTAAAATGAAACTTTGCATTTTCTCACTTCTTTATACAAAATTATATTCACAATTTTTTTTTAAAATTGTGTGAAATCAAACGTATATATTATATTGAGACGGTACATGGACGTTGTGATGAGCTCAAAAATCTTTGTCATGTTTTCTCGTTTTGAATTATTTCAATTTTGTTCTTATTATAGTTCTCGTTTCGTTTGGGTAAGCAAACTTTTGTCCCAAGCTCTTCTCGAACCGGTTTAAAATGGAACAACGCAAAGACAATAAAATGTGTCTTGAACCATCATGAATAAAAATACTTATTTCTTTGTATATATAAATGAGAGAATGAGATGGAATATTGTAGGTTTTATTTGTGTGGGATACACCTACTTCGATTTCTAGGTCCAAATATTTTTCTGCATTACTTGTTTGTAAAAGTTTATAAGATTTGTTAACTAAAATGTTACTTTTACACGTGTAAAAATATTTTTATTACTCTCTCCGTCCCATGAAACCTTTCCCTTTTCTTTTTTTATCCGTCCCACAAAACACTTCTCATTTATATTAAAAAGTCACTTTTACCCCTTACTTTTTCATACCCTAACTATCAGATCATACCTTTTTACTAATAATCTATCTATCAAATCATACTTTATATATCACATCAAAGGACATTTTTGGAAATTCAATACCAAAATACACCCTCTTAAATCCCTCCTAAAAAGCAAATGTCTCATGTTTCATGGGACGGAGGGAGTACATTTTATTAAAGAATTATAAAGATATTCAATTCCTATAAAACCTTTGAATAATTTTTTTAAGGTTTACATAGTACAAATTTTCTATGTTTGCATTTTAACAAAAAATAGCATTTGTTCTCTTCAATTAATCTAATTGGTTTTGATATGATTCGATTTAGTTCTGATCTATTTGTTATATTATATTTAAAGTTGTCTCTTATCTGATGCGATTTAAATAAGAATAAGTAAAATGAATATGTTGAAGAGAACAAAGTTCATGTGGTATGACATTCGAACCGTTCTGAATCGTCCTGATCCCAAAATAGAAAAGAAAAAGTAGGACAATGTGTTGCTCCCAACCGTTTTGACCTATTTCTATAAATAAAAACAGGAACCAGGACAACTAAAAACGCGATGACTCCTTTCCGCCTCTTGCGGACGTAATACATTTGTCTTTAATTTTCTAATATTAAAAATTAAATTTGAAAATGTTAAAATTAAATATTGTTGTCAGATAGAATTTTTGAAATGTTCATGCTAAGGCTATACTATTTGGTATACTCAATTTGTACACCATCAAATCTCAGAATTTAATCTATCTTTATCTATTCTCTAAACTTTTTATTCACACTTAAAATTGTGTGGTATATACTTGAAAATACCTTTTGGTGTATCTCTCCAATTTTCTAAAACTAATAGAAAACGATTGGGTTCTATAGTCACTCAAAGTGAATGGCTCTAGAGGACACCGACTTAAGTAGGACACTTATAGTCCACTCACAAAGTTGATAGTTTTTGCCCTTAACTCTTGATTATTTTCTCACTCAGCTCCGACTCTAACTCATCATACACTTACGTCAATTACGCGGTGAAAGTGTATATGATTTTGATGTCAAAAAATTTGATCTCTATTTTTAAGAGTTGAAGTGTCCTCTAGAGCACACACCTGGCCTAATAGAAAAAGTGTGTTGGATGTTTGTGTTAGGTCGTTGTTAATTGTCCAAAATTTCAACCGCTTCCACTTGAAATCACTCTCCAAAATTGCAGTCTCTCACCGCTACCGCTGCCTCCATTTTCCGTGTAAGTTCCTCAGTCATACCGCCATTGCCATGACCACAAAATCCGCCCTAAAAATCGTCTGGTTCTCTTTCCAAACGTAATTGAAATTTGTAGAACTCGCGATCCGAGTCGGTTTATCACAGAGTCTAGATCTGTTGGAAGCTTAATCTTCGGCGACGCTTCTGCCTCGATCTTCAATCGCTCGACTCCGGATGGCAATGTCCGACGCGATCGACCGATTTGAGATTCTCAGTGAGTGCACCCTCATGTAATTTGCATACTCATACACTGAAATATAGTTTGTCGTTCCTGTAGATTTTCGTGCGTCGCTAAAAATCCTCTCTTCCATTTGATGCTAAAGCTCCAATTTTGCGGGCGATTTGAATATCTGCAGTTTTTCTGAATTTTCAATGCTTTACGAATTATAATGCGATTTGCTGAATTTGAATTTCCGAGGTTTAGTAAGCTCTGCTTTCTTTAGAAAAATAACCATTTATGGAGTGTTCGCGTTACCATTTGAGATATGTCGATGTGTGCTATTCTATGGATTGTTGCGATATTATTGAAGATTGTGAATAACTTGATTTAAGAATTTGTACTTATATGTGTAAAACTGAAACTCTTCACTCTCTACCATGTTGTTACACAAAAAAGTGCTTGTTTTTCTTCAGAACAAGATCTTATGTTCTACATATGCTTTGAACTTTCGATTTTGTGTTAGGTATGAATCTTTCCTAGGCATGAATACATTTTGATAAGGTGTTTTATGCTAATTTTCAGGCATCGAGGGTTCACAGAGCAGTAATGGAGGAAATGAAAATGAATCAGATTTTAAAATCTCAGAGGAGGAGGAGGAGAAGAAGAGTAGAGTTGGCACGTTGAAGATAAAGGCAAACAAAGTGAGAAATTCCTTCAAGAATAAAAGCAAGATAAGAAGTGATTTTGCTTCCACAGATGATGGCCGGGAAGCCAAATTAGCGTTGGCTGTAGATACTTTTAGAGAAATTCTTACCACTGAGGGTCTTCTTCCTGCAAGGCATGATGATTATCATGAATTGTTGAGGTAAAAAGCACTACCAATATATATATGTATGTACACACACACATGTACTTCCATTTGCTCTATATATAGTAGCTATATAGTTATAATTAATATGTGTTTGTAAGCAACTCTTCCTCCTTCCCCTGCTTCTAAACAAGTTTACTTGCAGATTTTTGAAAGCCAGAAGGTTTGACATTGACAAGGCTAAGAAAATGTGGCAGAACATGCTTCAGTGGAGGAGAGATTTTGGGGCTGACACTATCATGGAGGTAATTTTGACATTTTGGCCTTTGGGGGATATGGCCTGTTTGTATACAAACTCATGTAGATGTTTATAAAAGAAACCTATCTACCTTGCCTCTCCTCTTCTAATTCATTTTTCCCCTCAGGATTTTGTTTTCAACGAAAGAAATGAAGTGCTGCAATACTACCCCCAAGGATATCATGGTGTAGATAAGTTGGGGAGACCAATATATATTGAAAGAATAGGAAAACTCAAGCTGGACAAGGTCTTAGGGGTGACCACTCTTGATAGGTACATTAAATACCATGTCCAGGAATTTGAGAAGTCCCTAAGTGTTAGGTTTCTTGCCTGCTCAAGAGCTGCAAAAAGGCATATAGATACATGCCTTACAATTTTAGATGTTGAAGGAGTGGTATGTTACTCTTTTTCTTGCTGACTCATTTGTTTATTCAAATATACTGTATCACTTTTTTAATTACTCCTACTTTAAGGTGGTTGTTTAATTTTGTATGTCCAGACATTGACGAATTTGACCAAACCTGTTCGAGATGTTATCATGCAATTGCAGAAGATTGATAATGACATCTATCCAGAAGTACATCTCTAATAATGTCACTGGTTTAATAAACTTGATAATAACATCCATGTTCCCTTATGCTGAACATAGTCTTCACATTTACTAATCTCTGAGTTGAAATGTCCTAATTTGCAGACACTGGGCCAAATGTTCATATTAAATGCTGGTTCTGGGTTTAGGCTCATCTGGAATGTACTCAAGCCTTTTCTCGACCCGGATACTACTTCCAAGATTCATGTATGTTGTTAGCTCCATTTGTTTACATGAAAATATTTTCTGGCTAAACTTTTTTTGATTCATGTGCTAGATGCCTTGACACATGAATAGATTTTGCTAGAAATTGGTATGTTTGGATCTCAGAAGGTGCTAGGGAAGGGAACAAAATTGCTCAGGAAAATCATTTTATCGTGCTTAGATTTGGAATATATTCAGAAAATTAAATGCCATTAGTTTGTGAACTTTATAAATGTGGTTGGTAGTCTCTTTAGAATATAAATTTTTTTTTTTTGAAACTAACACTGTGTTTGGTTCAATTTTTCCATCATCTCCGATGGAGCCAAAATTTCACCATTTTTTGGCTTTGGGGTGTGATGGAATAAATCAAAATGGATCTCTAAACTGTCTGCGCTTCTTTAATTAATGAAGTAGCAGTTAGTCAAGCAATGCAACTTTCGACGTTGAGCCGGGGGTCTCTTTGGAAACAGCCTCTCTACTTTCGAGTAGGGGCAAGGTCTGCGTACACACACCCTCCCCAGACCCTACTCTTGTGGGATTTAACTGGGTTGTTGCTGCTGCTGTTGTCTTTTACTGTGTTTGGTTCAAGGAATTTGGAAGGAAAAGAGAAGAAAATGGTTTTCCCTCACTTTCCTCAGCAAAATGGGAGGGATTTAGTTTTCCATCCTCTTAGTACATTTTGCCTTCTCATTTTCTTTTCCTTCCACTTTTCTTTTCTTTTCCTCTCTAACCAAACAAGAAAAATATTTTCTTTCTAATTTTCTTTTCCTTTTCCTCTCAAATTCCTTGAACCAAACATAGTGTAAATTAATTGAGGATGATTTAATGCATTTCTCCCTATTTCCTACCCCTAACGGGCATATTTTGAGTTCCAAAAGGATCCTTAGACTTTAAGAAATTATTTAGGGCCTGTTGGATCTTTGAGTCTCAATAAATTTAGATTTTATATTTGATATCACTATAGCAGTCATTTCATTTAAATATTTCATTTTAAGTAAAGGCTAAAAAAGTGTCTGCTGCAGATTCAGTCATTCAGATTGTCATTGTTTTAGAATTTAGATAGTTCAACCTAGCATTGCATTGTATAGTTTCCGAGAAGAAAAAAAGGACCAAATAAGCTGCATATATGATAAAATATTTCAGACTGACTTTAATTTTGTGGACAATGACCTTGACTTGCACTGTTTTATGTTATCCCGGAGTATTATGCATTCTACAACAAATGTTTTCCACAAGTTATTGTTGTTGCTTAGAGATCATACCTATTCAAATTCTGCAGGTTCTTGGCAGCTGCTACAAGCGCAAGTTGCTTGAAGTCATTGATGAAGGGTAATATATTCATTATTTAAATTTAACCAATCCGTTGGTGTGCGTGGGAGGGTGTGGGTGGGGTGGGGTGTTTGAGTAATCGAGTCGTTTGACCTGTGAACAGTATTGAGTCGCAATTCATTTTCAGGGAACTGCCGGAGTTCTTAGGCGGTAGCTGCACTTGTGCAGAGGAAGGAGGCTGTTTAAGGTCAAACAAAGGGCCATGGAAAGCTCAAGCCCCATCACAGTGCTGATACAGGGGAACCTCAAGGTCTACAATAACTACAGAAGACATATATTTCTTCTAACTACTTGGATCTTATTACACTACATACACGACGTTGTAACAGAAATTATGGGAGAATAAGGTAATACGTCCAAACTTTGTTTATAGCCAACCTAAACTTTATGTCATATTCTTGGGCATCAGTGTTTGAAGCCCATGCAGGAACACAAATACGTAGTACTTCGTACTACGTATTTCTTCATATTTCACGAACCACATGCGTTAGTGAGTGCCTCGACTATGATGTCAAAGGGAGTAATGCTTAGATTTGGCAACCAGGTTACTCCGTTTGATTCTTACACCGAAAATTTAGTTTGCATACATATTTATTTGAATGATCAATTTATTGAGTGATTTTTTAAACACTTAATATTTTTCAATTTTTTTCGAACATCCAACTTTAGAATTTTAACTGAAAACAACATGACCTAAAAGTGATCAAACATTAATCTTTCTTTGCCTTTTAACTTATAGATAAATACTTCTTCCGTTTTAGAAAAGAGTTTCCGTTTGGCAAACTTTAGATGAGTGTATTTGAGTGAGATATAAGTAGGATGTGATGGATACGACAATGTGAACACCCCTATGGTACTCCGTTAAAAAATTGATGGTTCCTACCCCTCCTAACCCCCAACTCGGCCCGATCCGAACTCACACCCCCACGCCACAAGATGTAGTTGACTTTGGAGTCAAATTTTGACTCCAAAGTCAACTACATCTTGTGGCGTGCAATTGACGGGGAAGGGAAATGGGATTGGGTCGGGCCAAGTTGGGGGGGGGGGGGGGTTTATCGGGGTGTTAGGAGTAGGAACCATCAATTTTTTAACGGAGCACCGTAAGGACTCCAAATGGAGCCCATTTCATAGTATGACATGGGCTCATGTCATTGGAACTTTGCCCTAAAATGAAATAATTAGTAGGGATAAATGGAACTCTTTGATGAAAAATTAAAGTGTTTTGTGGGTAGAGTAAAAAGTAAAAGACAAATTGTTTAATGAAACTTATACTCCCTCTGTCGCAAATTGTGGGTAGAATATTTCTTGTGTTCAAGTATATTTGAGTTTTTAAATTTAAATTATACTCCCTCTGTCGCAAATTAAATTGCATGTTTATTATTTATAGGGTCAAATTATGCTTACTTTCTTTCTTTATTTTCGTTAGTCATTTAATAAAATAATTTAGTCATGTCACTATTAGTTTTGTAGATCTTTTGATGTAGTTTTCAAATATGTAATTTTTATTTTTTTAATCATACACCATTTTTTATATTAAATTATTTGAAATTAATTTTAGTTAAACATCAAAAATCAAAATAGGTAATTTAAATTGGGACAGAAAGAGTATGAATTTTGACATTGTAGTAATAGTTTATTGACTGTATAAGAGAACATGTTTGTTAAGTTAAATAGAGAAGAAAATATAAAGAATATTTACACTATGTTCGGTTCAAGGAATTCAAAAGATCGAAAAAAGAAAAGAAAATAAGATGTAAAATAGTTTTTGTTATTTAGTTTAGAAGGGGAAAGAAATGAAAAGTGAAAGGAAATATATATGGTAAGGCAAAAAATACATAGAAGTGGGAAAACCAATTTTCTTTTGTTTCGGTGAGGAAATTTAGAGACTCATTTTCATTTTCTTTTCCTTCCAATTTTTTTGAACCAAACCTAGTGTTAAAGGAAAGAAAATTAAAGAGGGTAAATATTCGGTCAAACTTTATAAAAGGAAATCAGGCCTCTAAACAAGTACTCGTATGTACTTAAAATTAAGCTGCAAAAGATTCTAATCAAGTTTCCTTCTGCAAATTTGGTATTCTTTTGGTGGATTATTATCAAACGGAATGACAAATGAGAAATTAATTAGTCTGAGCTGTTTTTTTAGTTCGTTCAGTAATTCCAAAATTAACTCATATTTTCTTATGAAAATATTGGCTTGAAACTCAAAAATAAAACCTTAGAGCATGACTTTGACTAAATTAACATAAGAAAGTATAAAAAGATTGAAAATTTTAAAAAGTATAGTTGAATTTTGTTTTGATAAAAAATTTTGTTTGCCACATATTCATCAATTTGATTGAAAAAACATAAATTAGAGTAGAATTTTGTATTTTCAAACATCTAAACAAAGAACAAAGACTTCATTCAACAATAAAATAAAGCAAATCAGCACAAAGACATTCAGGAAAAAAAACATATAGCCTTAAATAACAAGCTACATCTAAATTGTATTATTACGAGTTTATATTGATAAAAGGGTCCTCCAATTCAAGAAGAGTTCCCTTTGTGTCATACAAACTTTTACTTTTCATTGTACCGTTGCGAGACAAAAAAAACAGCTTCACGATACAACGTTAACACGTATGGCACTCACTAATTACGTGCACTTAGTTACTCTTAAGGCCTAATATGGGTAGAGCATTGTTGAAACGAGAAAACAAAAAGGAACAATGGATGGCTGGTGGTTGCTTGGAGGTGACAATCAATTTATGCAATTCCATTGCAACTTCATTGGCTTCTTTCTCCCCGTTGTCCCTCATTTTCTCGCTTACCTTTTTGGCCATTTCCCTCACAATGTGCCCTTCTTTCTCGAGCACGACGCGGTTGACCACGCTCGCAATGGTCTTGGGGTGGAGGCGGCCGTGTGTGTCCCTGACCACCTCCTCCCCCACCCCAAGCTCAGAGACCAGCCGAGCGTTGATCGGCTGATCAAGGTGCATTGGGATGGCAATGAAAGGGACGCCGAGTTTCATCCCCTCCATCACCGAGTTCCACCCGCAGTGGCTCACGAACCCTCCGATGCTCGGGTGGGCCAGGATGCTGGCCTGCGGGGCCCACCCGTCCACCACCATTCCGCGGCCCCTCACGCCCTCCAAGAAACCCTTCGGCATCGCCTCTTCCACGTTGACCGTTTTGCCCTTGGGAAACCTCACCACCCATATGAAGTTCACCCTGCTCGTCTCGAGCCCGCGCGCAATGGAGTGCGTGTCTTCCTCTGAGAGGAAATACTCGCTCCCGAAGGACACGAAAACAGTGGACCCCTTTTCCTTACTGTTCAAGAACGCGATGAAAGGGTCGTTGTCCTCAACGACCCCTCCAGCTTCTTGAACCAAGGGGCCCACGGGGAGAATTCTCTTCCCGGTCAACTCAGACAAGTACTGAAAGTACTTGTCCTCGGCCTCCCGAAAACCTTTGACCAATACGAGATTCGAAGACCGGCCGAAACACGCCCTGACGCACTCCTTGTCCTTCCTCTCCTGCTCCTCGTACGACGCCGACTTCTCCGCCGCCTTTACCTCGTACGGCCGGTAATAAATGGAGTCGAAGGGGAAGGCCGCGCCCGGCCTCTTGTCCATGTGGACCACGTGGGAGAACATGGTGGCGCTGCTCGTGACGAACAGCACCGCCGGAATGCCGAGCACCGCCGCGGCCGCCGCCGCCCACGGCTGGAGCAAGTCGTAGACGAGCAGGTCGGGGCGGTGGGACTCGAGGATGGCGAGGAAGTTGGAGGAGGACATGTTGAAGGCCTTCTTGAGTGCGGGCATGAGGTGCGGCGGGAGGCCGTTGGTGGTGTGGAGCGGCGGCGGGAGGCCGGGGAGGCTGGGGAGGTGGAGCTCAACGAGGTGGATGGATTTGTTGGCCTCCGGTTCCCGGGCGAGTTTGGACCGGATGGAGGAGAAGTTTGCAGGGGTGGAGCAAAGGATGATGTCAAAGCCTCTTTTGGTGAGCTTTTTAGAGAGCTCCATGAATGGGGAAATATGGCCATGTCCCAACCATGGGAACATGAGAACACAAGGCTTCTTCTTCTTCATCATCTTCATCATCATCATAGAATCCATATGGCCACTCAAATGATGAAATCTTCTTACAACTAGTTTATGTGAGGGGAATTGAAGATCGGATTAGTGTAAATACTCTTCTGCAATTTATGCATGATGATAAGTTATGTTTATAGCCTAAGGATGTTAGATTAAATATGGTAAGTTTTTGGGGTGTATAAATGATTATATTTGGCATGTCGTATATATGGAAATTAAATTCTAGACAATATTTTTATTGATTCGTCCTAATGGATCACTATAGAAAACTTGACCATTTTTATCATTATTTAACTAAAATATATACTCCCACCGTTCTGTCCAATAAAAAAAAGCAATTTACCTAAATAACATTAAAATATAATGACTTTCCAATGTAGCACTTTTAGTCATTATCCTTGATCATTATTCAAGTAAATATTTGTCATCACTAAACATTATGGCCATTATTAAGTGCTATTTAGGGAATAAAACAGTTTAAGTGCTATTTAGAGAAATGACTTATGTTTTAGTATTATTTAGTGCAAATATTTCATAAAAATTTGAACAGAATAGTTTGCCTTCATATTTATTTAGAAATGTGCATGTATCCCTCCATCCTAAAAAGATGTTCTTATTTTATTTTTTGCACATCCCATAAAATACTTTTACCCGCATCTAAAATATCCAAAATTTACCATATTTTTTCTTTATTATGGGTAGAAATTATTTTGAAAGTTTTTTTGGATTTTGAGGCGGAATAGAATTGTTTTGCGGAATGTGCAAAAAATCAAACAAGAACATTTTTTAGGGACAGAGGGCGTATTTTACTTGTCCAACAAATTTTTCTACTTTTAATTTCATCCTTTATAAAAAATAGTTTTATTTTAAAAAATTAACTTACTTAATTATCACATAATATCTTTCGATATTAATCTATCTATCATATTCTATCTTATCTTACTCACATTAAAATAAGAGCAACACTTAAAACTAAGACCAAAATTAAATATGGAGTCAAACCTTCTTCAGTCAAACCTTCTTCAAAAAAGAAAAGATTTTGTGGGATGGAGCCATGGAAGGAGTAGTTACTAGTGCTAGAAAAATACGGGGTACTATTTTTGCTAACAGACTATAAATTGCAAGTTAAAACTGGAAATTTACTGGGCTAATTAAATTTAAAAAAAGTTTCTAATTTTAATGTTATGGCTAGAGTGTAATTGTGTAAAATCACAGTGATGGGGGATGAACTGATAAAGGGAGTAATACATTTTTATTGTTAAAATAAGACTATTCCAATATAATAATGTGATAATGTGTAACCACATTTTACAATATTTTTTGTATTATATGTTAGACATAAAGATCATATTTTTTTCTTATGTTTGGCTTCAATTTTAGTACTCGTATTTTTTTCTATTTGGGATATGGGAATAACTATAGTGATTGCTCTTTAATTTGTTTATTGTTACTTATTACTCTGTAAATTAAATGTTGAACTCTCACCGTACTTTGAAGGCAAATTCTTTGGTGGACTTAAGGTCTATACTCATTTTATGCACTTTAGTGTGTTTGCATTGTAACATAAAAAGTGAGTCTTTTGTAAAAGAGGAAGTATTCCCTATATCCACATGCAAATGATAAAAAATGTGAGAAGTTCTACATTTTAAATGTGGAATTAGAGACCATGTAAGCATTACTAAATTTTGAAATCTCTAATTTATGAATTATGGTTTTTCTTATCCAAAACAATAAGCTGCATTTTAATTTAAGAACATCAGTTTAATTTTTGTTATTCATTTATTTTTGAAAATTAGCAAACGAATGGTACACATTTTTGCATATAAGGAAAATAATTAAGACCAGTAAATTATTTTATCCCAAAAAAGCACTGTGCTTGTTACGTACTCCCTCTGTCCCAAATTATTTGCCACATTTGTATTCCCGAGGCAAAATATCAAGTTTTTTCAATTCATTTTATTTACATATTGGGTTAGAAATAAAAAATAAAATTTACATATAAAAAAACTACATGAAAAGTTCTTCGAAATAAGAGGTGTCAAAAATATTTTATTTTATCAAATAACCAATGAAAACGTCGAAATAAACAAAAGTTTCCGCGAATGCTGAAAAAGCAAATGTTGTGAATATTTAGGAACGGAGGGAATACTAAAAATTGACCTGCATGTTATATTATGGGAATCTTAAACCCCCAAAATAACAACCGTCGAATCAAAACATATACGGGTGTTTAATGCGCTTAATTAAATCACTTTTATATAGAAACATTCTTCATTAATCACTTTTATTCGGGACTAATATTCGTAAATCTAATTGACCTTGAGATCACGAATGTGAAGCGCAAAAATCTTCGGATGATTAATTATTGGATTATTAGGATATTATACATTCCAAGATTCAAGAAACTTACCATAATTTTCACAATATTCCATATTGAATTGCATCGATCACAGTTAAATGATAGAGAATTTTTACGAAATAGAATAACGGTTAACGGAAAATCATTAGTATATGGTTAATTGCGTTAACTTTGACTTATTAAATCTGAAAAATTGACAACTGAAATTTCGAATTCGAAATCTAACGTCTGAAAAATGCTTTGGAATATAGTGTCTCGATTTAATAAAAGAAATCACCATACATAGCACTCTAACTCACCCTAAATTACGCATTTAGCACTACTCATTGTTTTTAACAAACTTAGCAATTTATGATGTCAATCCTTTCCTATCGTACCCTTTACCCCTTTTTCTGTTTTTTTTTCATTAAAAATTATGGCATTCAACTCCAATCTCTCGTTCTGTTCTCCCGCACGCTATTGAACTCCACGGTCTCTCCTTCTGTTCGCCGGCGATGATGCGTCCTCAGTCCTTCGCCCACGATTCCTTGGCCCATGCTAATCTTTGATGTCGCTAATCATTTTCTCTTCTCCTTCAATTTTTATTTTTAATTCCTTCATCCTTTTATTCGGATTTTCCTGTATTTTTAGTATTAATTATTGTGTTTTCTTTGTATTGAAGATTAGGTGTTGTGAAATCAATTTTGAAATACCAAGTATTTGTCCCTTTTGAAAAATTAGGTCTTTTGAAAGCCATTGTGATTTTGGCAGTGTGAACATTAGGTGTTATGGTGTGGGCAGTGTGAAGATTAAATGTTAAAATTTTGTCTTGCATCCTTTTATTTGGATTTCGCTGTATTTTTAGTTTTAATTATTGTGTTTTGTGGCAGTGTAGATACATTGTGGCAGTGTATATATTGTGGCAGTGTATTTCAGACATTGAATTTTTGGAAGTACATATTGTGACAGTGTAGAGAATATATATTGCAGTGTATAATTACCATAAAAAATAAAAGGTCACGGCTTAAAATTAAATTCAATCTCGAACATATTGTGGCAGTAAAGAGCAGAGCATTTTATACTTATTTATAATGTGGCAGTGAAGAGTATACATTGCAGTATAATTCTAATTTTGGGAGTTTATTTAAGGACAAAAATGGGAATTCATCCCAAAAACTAATAGCACTGCTATTTTGAGTATTATAAGGCTATTAAAGTGCTATTTTCGTATTTCTCCCATTTAATAATGGACCCCGTAAGTCATAGATATATTTTGTTCACATGATTTTTAATATATACGAGTAATACTCTGGTAATAAATTAAGATAAATTTTTTTTAAAAGTAATTTAAATTTCAAAAGTACTACCTCCGTCCCGCTATATTTGTCCACTTTTGACTTTTGGAACTGTTTATCTAAGCAATTTGACTCATCAAATTCACTCAATGTGTAAGCCTAAATATAGTCATGTGTGATCTTGTTTGATTTGTCTTAACATATAGATTATTAATATATAATTTCTATAATTTTTTAATATACAAATTACAAGATAAAATGGATTAAAGAAGTGTATTGGATGGTGTGCAAAAATGAAAGTGAACAAATACTCCGGGACGGATGGAGTATATTTTTAGAACCTAATAAAAATATACTTCCTACGTTCTATAAAAGTGTTTCTATTTTGACTTTGTGTAAAAATAAGGAAGTGTTAAATTGTAGTTGACTTCCAATTTTGCCCTTGATGTGATGGGTAAAAGTTAGATGTGATGGATTGAATATTAGAGAAAAAGTATGATGTGATAGGTAGGGTATGAAAAAAGTAAGGGTAAAAGTTGTTTTTTAATATAAAGTGTAAGTGTTTTGTTGGAAGTAAAAAAATGAAAGAGAGAGATTTTTTGAGAACGAAGGGAGTATATTTCACAAAAATTTTTTAAATTAAAAAATTACTCAATACTAAAAACAAATCTTACCTCTCTTTGTCTCTTCCCTCTATTATCTCGTTATTTTCTAAAGATGTGGTTAGAGGAATACGTTCGTAGATCAAGAGGAGTTGACTAGGAGTGATCAAGGGAGACGTTCGTGCAAATGATATGATACAGGATAAGACGAAATGATGTTGTTTAGTTCATGTAGCTGACTCTACCTATTAAGATAATGTTTTGTTATTGTTGTTCCTTCTTCCTTTATCTTCTCTTTTCTTTCTTTTTTTTTCTCTTATTTCCTTTCTTTTTTGCAAGAGCAAATTCTTCCGTGAACATAATGTCCATGATCACCTTATAAAAGTTACATGCTGTTTGGTTAAGAAGAAATTGGGAGGAAAGAAAGTCAATGGAGAGAAAACACATATTTCAAGGTGTTTTCTTTTGTTTGGTTGGAAAAGAATTGGTGGGGAGAAGAGAAAAAGGAGAGAAAAATTAGCCATAAAATTTTCTCTCCACATGGGAGGAGAAAACCGTAGGTTGGGAACTATTGGAAGGAAAACAAGCAAAATTACTATTTTACCCTCTTTATTTACTCCCTCCGTCCCTAAATAAAGTTCCTCTTTCATTTTTTCTTTGTCCCTAAATAAACTTCTCTTTTCCCCTAAAAAACCCCTTTTACCCCTTACTTTTTCATACCCTACCTATCACATCATACCTTTTTACTAATAATCTACCTATCACATCTTACTTTTACACATCACATCAAGGGTATTTTTGGAAAGTCAACACAAAAATATCCCTCCCTTAATTCCTCCAAAAGTCAAAAACGGAACATTATTAAGGGACGGAGGGAGTATAATTTTAGTTTTATAGACTAAGGGTAAATGTATCTTTTTGTTTTGTCACGTTTTCTTTCTTCTTCTCATTTTTCTTTCACTTTCTACCCATCCAAACAATAATTATTCTCTTTTGTGGGTGCAAAAGAGTCCCCTTATAACATTCTCTCTCCATCTTTCGTCTTCAACATATAATCTCCCCCCCTCCCCCTCCACCCCTATTCCACGTCATCTTTTCTCAAACATTTCTCTATAAGTCCATGAGTATTTGTCAAATTATGGTCGTTGGCATAAAAAATACGGAGTAATTCTTAATACTCTAAATGCCCCCTTTTTATTTATGTTATTATTTAAATCATTATTTTATTAATGTAAGTTTTATTCAAGTAATTTATTTATGTAATGAATTATTATCGTTTAAATTCAATTAATTAATGAAATCTTATTAATTTAATTTTATAAAATGTATATTTAAAATGTAAAAATAAAGTTTTAAAGTCTCGAGGTAAATTAAAACTGACGTGACAAAAAAAAGAAATTCAGAAGCCCCGATTTGAGGTCTCATGGCTTTACGAGTATTTCCAGTGCTTTTAAAAAAGAATATTCTTTCATTCTTTCATATTTACAAAAATTGGATTCGACAGTGTAAAAAAAAAGGAATAAAAAAGAATCCGCCCTTGGAATCAATTGTTGTTGATCTAATTAAAGGCAGAGATTCAAAAAAATCATATCCAAATATCTATAATCAATTCGAAGTCTCAATTTCCATCCAAATTTCAAAGTGAATAACGAAGGACAATTCCAAGGTGACAAATTAAAGGACTCAAATGGAACTTTATGCCCCAAAGAGAGGCATTGTTATTAAGTCCAGAGGGGAACTCTATGCTCCATACCATACCCAATATTTACAAAGGTTTCAAATTAGAACACGTTTTAAAGGTGGTCAATTTAATTTCTCCCTCCGTCACTGGCGTTAATTTAGTTAGTCGACATCTTCAGAGGTTGCTAGTGGTGGGCTGCGGCGGCGGCGGCCATTCGAATCCAACTCCCGCCGCCGATCATGTGGGTGGTCAAGAATGGGGCGGCTTCTTCACTCGACAGGCTGCGTGACCAACTCACTCGCCCTCTCCTCTTTGCCCCTGCCCCATAACACTTGTATTCCCCATAATACACCGTCCTGCAATCCAATTCAATCCAATCCAATCCAATCCAATTTTTTTAAGGACATCACATAAAAACCTTGTTCTAATTAAGTAGGGAACATATATACCTTTGTTTGGAGAGGTCATTCCAGTTGTCCCATCCCTGAGGTAGAACAACGTTGGACATGTTGGTCAGGGCAAAAATGACCCTAGAATAAGCACCCCATGGCCTTCCAAGAAACGCCGTCTTGACGCCGGTTATGGTGCACCCCACAAAGGCAAACCCCGTCTCCTCCCACCGCGAACCCCTCCGTTGCGCTGTTATCGCCCCATTCCCCTCCGACACCGAGTGCAAGTGACACTTCTGCATTCCCAAGAATCAAATATTGCGAGTACGAAAAATTGAAAATGATGATATTGAAATGTGACGGACGAATATGTATTGTACGTGCCTCGAATAGAGAAGCCGCATTCCCACAAATGAAATCAGTGTCACCCTGGATGTAACAATTTTTGTAGTAGTGTCTCCCCCTATCATCCAATAAAGTGTCTTGATGGGATAGTATCCTACACCCAAACAATGCCACTCTATCCCCGCAAACCCTCATCGCCACTGCTTTTGCTCCAGGACCATGTGTGTTCTGTTCTCAATATAATTAGCGTTAAAAAAATCATCTTAAATAGAAGTAAAACATAAAAAAAAAGTATATAAAAAATTATTCTTAAAATAAGAATTTGTACTATAATAATATGAAGCTATATATGGACATTTCATAATACTTTTTAGTACTCTATATTACTCCGTATGTATTAACATAATTGACATTGCATATGAATTTAAACATTTATTCCTAGAATAAAAATAAGGAACTCCTATTTTCTATTTTTAAATCTTACTTTAGTCTATTTTCTTAGCGCTATCATTTTGGATAATATTTCTAAAATATTATCGTTAATTATATTTTGGAGTAATATTTTCACAATATGAAATTAAAACGGTGAAACTACTGCCAAGGAGGTGAGGTAAATATTTACCTGAATGGTTAGATAGAGAGCGGTGAAATCAGAAGCGAAAATGGTGAGAGTGGGAGAGAGAAAAATGTCGCCATAATCGGCCCACGTAATGACGGTGGCGCTACCGTTCCCTTTGTTCCCGCTCAAAGTTATGAATGGCTTGTCCGCCGGAACCACCACCTTTTCGCGGTAAACTCCGGGACCCACCGATATGAGCACGCGCCGGGAGTTGTTGGAAGGCACCGAGTCAATGGCGTCTTGTATTTTCCGGTGATGAACTCCTCCTCCACCACCACCGGATTGGTCTACTCTAATGAGAACCACGGCGGCGTCTGAAGCGGCCAACCAAACACAAACCATAATGACAAGTACTTTTAGCAGAGAAACAACCCTAAAACTACTATAATTATTAATCTTAATTGTAGTCATTGTAAAACAGGGTTTTTAATTTGGTATTGGCCGGGGAACGAATGTAAGTAATTAATAAGGTAGCAGTTGAGCAGGGGGAAAATTAAATTGTCAAAATGATGATTAAAGGTGCAAGAAATTCAAAGCTGATGAAGTGAGGAATATTATGATTATAATAATGATGAAGCCAGTAGGGTAGGGTAGGGGTAGGCGGCCATTCCTAATACAAAGCTAGATGGATGTATGTTCATATATACTACTTCCTCCGTCCCGAAATATTTGCAACGTTTGCTTTTTCAGCGTTGCGGGAACTTTTGTTTATTTCTACGTTTTCATTGGTTATTTGATAAAATAAAATATTCTTGACACCTCTTATTTCGAAGAACTTTTCATGTAGTTTTTTGATATATAAATTTTATTTTTTATTTCTATACCAATATGTAAATAAAATGAATTGAAAAAAACTTGATATTTTGTCTCGGGAATACAAGTGTGGCAAATATTTAGGAACGGAGGGAGTACGTGGATCAGCAGCCCATATGTCTATTGCAATATTAAGTAAAAGTCATGAAGCACATAAAAAAGACGGTTGCATCACTTTGGGAAAAACAGGCCAAGTCTGAGATCGAGATGAATAATTATTACGTATAGCAGTTATTTTAGGGATCAGAATTGATATATTTATAGGGTCCTATAATTAACTTCTTATTTTGACTTTCATGATCGAATTTGTTGAACTTTGACCACATTTACAAAAAAAAATGAATTGAATTTTAATATCAATTGATTAATAATGTTAAAACATAGTTTTTGAATATTTCGTTTTTATAATGTATATGTCATATAATAAATAGAGATATTGATACAAAGTGTTGCATACTTACATTGGAGACTGTAAAAATTTAAATGAGACATTAATTTTAAGATGGATGGAGTATTTAATTATTGTATCATCTATTTCAACTGCTACATATATATGCCCATGCATATGTCACTATTCTAGTTCATTTCATAATGAATTATATTGGCTATACAATTTTTAGCTCAAGGTCAATTAAATAAATGAGTCATAGTTTATACAGAGAAGAATGAAATAATTTGAATTATTTGTTTCTCATATAAGAATCAAAATAGCTTTTCAAAACAACTGAAAAATGAAAACAAAAAGTTTTTTAGAGGAAGAAGAATAATTATTTAAGTAGAAATACCCAATGGTAACTTCCCTCTACTAACACAACTACTTTTCCACTACCTAAGTGATGGCAACACACTAACCATGATTTCCTGGCGAATTAATTAGGTGAAGACCAGTTGTGAATCATAAATACTCCCTCCCTCCCCAAATAAGTTTTATGAACTTCTTTTGAACAACAAGCAAAATCTCATTTATTTTTAAAATTACTTTAATTACAAATTAGTATAAAAATAAAAAAAATATTTCAATTTATATATTCAAAAATTACATAAAAATTTTTTACAAAATAAGTAGTGACATGAAAATTCTATTTTATACTAAGGTCATGTTCTCTTCACCTGATCTGAATGGTTCTAATATTATTGGAATAAATTATGACCTAATTGTAATTATATTTAAAACTATTTCTGATCTAATTTGATTTCAATAAAAAAGTACTACGTAATAAACAATAAAAATAAGTTGGAGAGAACATGCACAAATTTTAAAGATTTTGTTACATGACTGAAATTGCAATTTTCTTGAGGATTACCGTCAACCCCAATTAGATCCGATCAAGGGCCCAAATAATCATCCGGCCCATAACCTCAAAGAACGCATACATGCAATCCGCCACGGCCCGTAAAATGTTGCACCAACAGCATTGCGTTTTGATATAGTTTTTGTTTTTTTTGAAAGGAATTCATTTTTCTTCTTCAAACGTTTACAATATTTTTATTGGGTGAGGAATACATGACACAAAATGATTTTCTATTTTCTAAACAATTCAAACTTTATTCAAACTCCTCAAATTTTATTTTATACTCCCTCCGTTCTCAAAAACACTTCCTCTATCATTTTTTCCACTTCGAACAAAACACTTCCACTTTCTATTAAAAAACCACTTTTACCCTTACTTTTTCATACCATATCTATCACATCATACTTTTTCTCTAATAATCTATTCATCACATCTTACTTTTACCCATCACATCAGGGGCAAAATTGGAAATCAATTATAATTTAACACTTCCTTATTTTTGCTCCAAATCAAAATGGGAAGTCTTTTTGTAAACGGAGGGAGTACTTGTTTCGTCTCAGATTACTTGATATTTTAAATATTTGTCCCAAAAAAAATTTAACTATGGACTACTTTACTTTTCTTCTAAAAAACTTCTTTTTTTAATTATGTGAAATCAAGCTGTTTAAATTAATTAAAGACGAAATGAATAACAAAAATAGAGAAAGAAAGTAAATCAAGTGTAGAAAATAATAGTAAGAACACATATATATGAGAAATAAGAAGATTAAATCCGAGTCGTGAAAAAGGAGCTAGACATGAGGATTGAAGATCGATTAAATCTAGACGGAGGGAGTATTACTTTTATCATTAATATCTATATTTATTTATCAGTTTTTTAAAAAAAACATGATATTTAAAAGCTATATTTCAAGATAAAATGGAATTGAGTATAATTTCATTTGAATTTGTAGTCAAATTTTGAATTTGGCTTAAAATGTGGAAATGAGAACCTGTTTCTTAGAAGGATGGAGTAAGGTATTAGAGCATTTAGAGGGTGTTTGGCGTTGTATAAGAGAACAACTTTTGAGCTTCTACTTCGTCTAAAAACAGTTTTGTGTGTTTCAAAAATCCGATTCTTTTAATCTTTTGTGACTTTTGAGTTTAAAATGGACTCCAAAAGTACTTTTTGACAATGTTGAGATTAAATGTTTTTGCTTCGACGTTATGACTTCTGTTTTTCAAAGAATCTATGGGAACACCAAACATCGTTTTACTCTACAAAGTAGCCTCACAATTTGAGACAAATTAAAGAACGATTGTGTTCAATCAAAAAACGCATAATCCTTTTATATAAAAAAAACCATTGGCGTTTCAAGGTTTAGGATCACACTCTTGTGATTCAAGACATGTAAAGTTCTAGATGACATTATTCCCTTAATCCCTTTGGTATATCATTACTCAAATTTCCAAACAAGGAAATATTGGAATCCATAGGCAAGATAGCATGTCCAATCTTATAGATCAAAAGTGATATTTTGGAGAATACAAAGAAAATGACACAATATAAAGCATCAATCCTAGTACTGTACTTTAAAATTATACTCCGTAATTAATTGAGTACTTGGCAGAAGTTTTCCTTTAATTCTTTCCAAAAAGTATTGTCCTACCTTGACTTTCGTGGTCGCTTTGATAATAAAATATGAAAAAAAATATTGACGATATAAATTTAATATAATTGATTTCACTTAAAATTCTATTTTTTATATCAAATATTTATAATATTTATGCATTTAAAACAGTATTTAATTAGATAAAAAGCCTATAAAAATCAAAATAAAACGATAATTTTAAGACGAGAGAGTACGTAATCAAGTGTGGTGGTAAATCACTCAAAGTATCTACTTATACCTCATTTAGGCCAGGCTTTAAAATTGGTTGTTGGATGTTAGGGGTGAGCTTTGTGTTTGTTGATTAAATCACTCAAAAACAGAGTGAGTATATTGTTTCTTGCAGGAAATTTAATTTATCTCTTTTGTTAGTGGTGAAAACTAATTAAAACTTTGTGTTTGTTGTCAATAGTTACGCTATATCTTATATATATATAAAAAGAAAAAGAAAATCAAAGGAAAAGATGGAAGAATATATGTGAATGAGTTTATTTGCGGACTATAATTTCACTGCTCATCTGGCACGTCCCTTTCTTATTAGCTTCTAGTATTGGATCGGAGGTGGGGATCTAATCCCACCAGCTGGTTATAATATGTCATATTTAAAAAAACACAATATATAAAATAAAAGGATCTTCTTAGCTCAGGGTATTTTTTTAAAGACACCTACTCGAAGTACGGAGTACAATTAATACGGAATAAATTGCAAGAGTAAAAATTTAAAATTACTCCATATAAATTAAAACATAAGTTTAAATTTTTCGTTAAATTATTTACACAATTACCTACAAAGAAAGTGTATTTTTTGTTGAGTTTCTAATTTTATTCCTGATGTAATGAGTAAGAATAAGATTTGATAGTTTAGTTATTAGAGAAAAAGTATGAAATGATAAGTAGAATATGAAAGAATAAAGATAAAAGTGATTTTTTAATAAAAAGTGAAAGTGTTTTAATTTAGAGAATTAAAAGAAAAAAGAAAAAAGATTTTATGGAACAAGGAATTATAAGCTTGAGCTATGAGTTTTAAATTTTAACCAAGTGATCTAGATTGTCCAAAAGTTTTACCTTGATAGTTACATTTTCATTTATTCTTCTCCACCTCAATATTTTTAAAAAGTTAAAAAAAAAGATGCGTCCGTACTCCCAAAAAAAGATACGTCCATAGAGTACACCTTCCCATTCTGCATGTATATAAAGAGCTAGTTCTTCCATCCTTCCCATAACATTCATCCATTGCATATATAAACATATATTCACCCATCATCATCATATATCTTCTTCTTCTTCATCATTGTCATATATCATCACCAGAGATTTGAAACAAAAAATGGGGTCATGGACAGCAAAGCAGAACAAGAAGTTCGAAGAGGCACTGGCGATATACGACAGGGAGACGAGGGACAGATGGGAGCAGATAGCGAGGTTCGTCGGAGGAAAGTCGGTGGAGGAAGTGAAGAGGCACTACGAGGTGCTTGAGAAGGATGTGATGGCCATTGAGAATGGGAGGGTGGCTATGCCAAAGTACAAAACTACCCCTGAATCCTGCACCACCAAGCACCACAAGTGATGGCAATTGATGGAAATCGTGCGTGCATGCATGCATGCATGCAGGCTTCCGAGGAAATTGGAGATGTTTACGTATTGGTGAGCAGAGTTGAAGCTTGAGACTATATATATGTTTTGTTTGATTATGTTAACCTTAAAATTCTTCAGCATGCCGGAGAACAAAAAATGTCTTATGTACGTACTAGCAATATGTGCTTGTTTTCATGCAGTTCTTTGTTAGTTTTACGTTTGCAGTTAGTTGTACGTACCAAATAAGGCAATAAGCAATAATCTAGACATTCCTACTAATCTGATGACTAGCTAGCAAGTGAACTACTGTAACAAAAAAATTACAATTGCGAGAATCTATCACATCCTTATTTGTCCGGTTCTAACTTTTTACAACTAATTATTTTAGATCTTTGACTACGAATTAAATGGAAACTATATGGTATTTTAAAAATAGTATTTTGAAAATATTGTACACCCTCTGGTCTTAAAAACCTTTTATGTTCTGACTTTTTTGGTTAAATAGTGACACTCTTTGACATTAAATTAAACATAATCTAAATAAATAAATGATATAAAAATTTAATATATATATATATATATATATCAAATCTATATATCCTAAGACGAACTCAATTATATTGAAATTCTATTATAATTAAATATATTTTTCTTACAATCTATGATAAACGAGTGTCACTATTTGATTAAAACAAGTCAAAATCTAAAAGGTTTTAAGACCAGAGGAAGTATAAATAAATCTAATGAAACTACTATCTTAATTATTATATCTCATACAAATTTTATTTAATTAATAGTCAAAATTTGTCATTTGTAGGGATAAAAAGTTAAAACTAGACATATACTCCTAACATATGATGGATCGAGTTGAAGAAATAAAAATTGCATGCTAAGGGTTGTGCAGTCATCAAATATTGCTGACCATATTTAGTTACAAAAAACAAAAAAAAAATCCAAGATAATCATTGATTACCACGGTACAAATATTTTTTTTTTTTAATTTTCATTACCAGCCTCACGACCTCACCTTTGCCCACTAGTTACTACTCCGGGGTACATATCCCTGCACTTTATTTTTACTTTCTCAATTATATTACCTAAAATACAAATACAGAAAGCCAATATAGTTTTTACATTTATTTGTTAAATTAGGTGTAAAGTCAAACAGAGCATAAATGTTAAATGAGGAAAAAAATAATTACGGCCACAAATTATTTATTTACAGAGAGTGGCCCATCATGATATATTGATATGGCTTACTCTGTAGACTGTAGCTATTGACGGAGAGAGGAAAAAAGTGGGTGAATTGTCAGCAAACAAACTTAAAAAAGAAAATGGAGATGCGGGGTATCGATCCCCGTACCTCTCGCATGCTAAGCGAGCGCTCTACCATCTGAGCTACATCCCCTTTCTTGGAACGTTATTTCACTTTCACTATTTATACTTTATAACTCTGCGATTCAAGTGCATGAAACTTTACCAAATGTCACCTTTCTTGATTACCTCGCCCTCAATAAATCAGCGAATCTATTGGGTTGCGACGTTACCATCTCTCAGGTCTATATACCAAAAGGCACAAATTAAACTATGATTTGTTATTATTTTGTGGGTTGTGCTATTATGCCAGTCATATTTGATTTTAAATGCTAGAGATATACATATATGATGGAACAAAGATTAGAACATAACATGGGCAATAGTTAAAGAAACTTCTAAAAAATTAAAGATAGAAGTACACCCAATTCAATTTTTAAGTGGTGTTTTTATAAAGTCTGATATAAATACTTTCCATGATTCTAAGATCCACATTAGTTTATGAACTTTAGTATATATAAATACTATGGATGAATTAGTTTTTTGAAAGAAAAAATCTTTATGCCGTGACATTAAAAGTGTGAAAAAATCCATAGTTCACTTTTTTCTGCATAGAAGTATGTATGTGTTTATAATAATTTGAAATAGTATTATTCTTTTTATTATTATTAATATTATTGTTGTTGTTATTATGTTATTATATTTATACTAATAAAAAATATTTTAATTAGGAAATAAATTTAAATTATAAAGGACCATGCATGTAATTATTACTTATTGAGAATTAATTTAGAAAATAACTTAACTTATAAGTAAAAACCGTTTTGAAATTTCACTCTAAAAAAAGAGTAAATTCTCAAAATAGTCCTTTGTAATAAGATGTTTTCCCAAATTAGTCCTCAATAAGTTTTAATTACCTACGTGGTCCTCTATAATTGAGGTTTATTTCCAAAATAGTCATTTATAATAAGGTGTACGTTTTCCTGAATCAGTTCTCAATAAGTTTTAATTACCTACAAGGTCCTCTATAATTGAGATTTATTCCCAAGATGGTCTTTCGTAAATAATGTTATTCAAATAGGAATTAATAAAGGGTATTTTTTATCCTCTAAATTTAGAATTAATTCTTAAAATAATCATTTATAATGAAGTGCTTCCCCAAAATGATTTTTCTAATTAGAGATGTGTATTTGATTTGAAATTTAAAAATTTTTTAAGTTTTAAATAATTCATAAATTATTTATAGTCAATGTATTTTTTAAAATTTACATTTAGTTGTACAAAAATGATTGTTTCGAGAATATAATTTAAATTTGGATGATCAACATACCAATATATCTCACAATAAATCATCATTTGAGTAACATTATTTATAAAGAACCATATTGAGAATAAATATCAATTATAGAGAACCACATAAGTAATTTAAACTTATTGAGGACTGATTTGGAAAAAACACCTTAATTATTACAAAGGATTATTTTGATAATTTACTCATCAATAATTTATGAATTATTTAAAACTTAAAAAAAAATTAAATTTCAAATCCAATACACATCTTTAATTAGAAAAACCATTTTGAAAAAATACTTCATTATAAATGATTATTTTAAGAATTAATTCTAAATTTAGCAAATAAAAAATACTCTCAATTAATCCTCATTTGAATAACATTATTTACGAAGGACCATCTTGGGAATAAATCTCAATTATAGAGGACCACATAGGTAATTAAAACTTATTGAGGACTGATTTGGGAAAACACCTTATTACAAAGGACTATTTTGGAAATAAATCTTAATTATAGAGGACCATGTAGGTAATTAAAACTTATTGGGAACTAATTTGAGAAAACCCCTTATTACAAAGGACTATTTTGAGAATTTACTCCTAAAAAAATGTGTCATATAATTTAAATTGTTAGGGCCAATGATCCGTATTTTTCGCTTCATTTAAGGCCTCAAATCAAATCTTTCAGGCCGACCCTAGAGATGGTCAGAATAAACACCAATTCAATCCTTTACCTTTTGGATATCTCTCTCCCGACCCGCCCACCTCATTTATATATATACTCTTTCGATTTTTAATATAGGCAAGCCCACTTTGCCCATTGAAGACTATTTTATGGGCTTGATTAAAATTCGAGATTGGACATTATTTTACTTTCTTCGAAACTTTGATTCTGGACCAGTTTTAAATATTACTTCGTACTTGCTTTGATAGCGATCAACATAAAATAAAGTCAAATCAAAGCTAAATTAGACTAAGGACTCATTTGTGAGTTTGAAAGTATGATGAGAATAATCCTTTGAAATCTAAAAAAAAATAATATGGACTTTGAAATCTGAAACGGAGTTGCTTAAAGAAGATTTAAAATCATTATTTAATTATTGATATATGCGGGTGACTCGCAACGGGAATGTTGGCGGTGACAATGGTACTCGGTGGTGGAAAATGTTCAACGATTGAGAGAGATATCAAACTCCATATTGATATCTTTTAAATTTAGGAGATATCGAGATCCTCCAGGTAAAGAATTTATTATATTGAAAGACATCAAACTCGATCTCTTTTGGTTCACTAAACACCAAAAATTGGTTATGATAAAAGTCATATATCTTTTATTTATTAAAGACACCTTTATTCTACTGAGTAATATAATAAGGAGTAGAAATAAGAAGACTGAAAACTAGTGTTGTAAAAATAAAAGGAAGAAAATTGAATTTACTAGTTCAATCGCACTTGTACACTACTTGAAAGTCATATTAATTTTTTTGAATGTTAATAACTCTATTATAATAAATTATATGTTAATTCATTCTCAACACATTAAAAGGTAGAGTTATGACCCTCACTCGATTGAACCCGTGACCTCTCTTATGAAAGAGACATCATCATGCCGCTTAACCACAAAGTCTTTGGTTGCAAGTAATAACAATTAAAATTGAAAGTCTTTGGTTGCAAGTAATAACAATTAAAATTGAAAATAAGAAGATACTCCTTCCGTCATGTAATAATTTTTAATTTCATAAATAGTCGTGCATAGTGATTAATAAAAAAGGTTAAATCATATGATTGAAAGTGAAATTGTCAATGAAGCAACTCAACCAAAAGTTCAAGTTTGTGGTTGTATAATACGTCGAGAAGAAAATTTAATATTCTAACACACCTTACCAGGCCACACATGCAGGTGTAGTGGTCTCTGTGAACCTTGCACGCAAAACTTTAATTTTTTAATACCCGATGAGAAAAATTCAAATTAGATTGTAATGTTTCGTTAGACTTCAATACCGTGTCAAGGAAATAATTTTTTATTTTAACAGATGTAGATGAGAGTGAAGTAATATTAGCCAAAAAAAATTCTAAACATGGAAACCAGAAGCTTTTTTTACAAACAAAAATGTAAAATATTATTGTGAAGTGAGCTAATAGTTTGAAGTGAGCTAATATTTCATTCAATGCATCTCTTTTGTCTCAAAATTATATTCTTACTTTTTTATTTGAATTGTCCCAAAAATTTTGTTTGCTTTTCTTTTTCCAGGAGTTGTGTAATACGGAGTATGATATTATTTCTCTTTCTCTACACTCTTAATAACCACAAAAATTCCACTTCCTTAATACGTACATCAAGCCAGACAGAGAAAAATATTATGGGAATCCCGGGAGTAGTTAGTTTCACGGGGGTATCAAAGCAGGTCA